CCTGCTCTGCGTGGAGGCTCCTCTTAGAAGTGTGTGACAGTCAGATGCTTACACTTAACATAGCCACGGTAATATGGGATTAAGCCTTACATACATGCACACTTGACGTATTAGCTGCCAGGACACAGACAAGCAGGGGAGCAGTGGTCTTATTAGTCAGCTTTGTGAATGACGATTGACTCTCTAAGAAAGCTGAGTAAATATATCTGGCCAATGCGTTTGCTTATAACACGAACAATGCATCCTGCAGCAGCAGGACATTTTTTTAATGGTTTATTTGTCCAATGTGTGTCCCAGTGTTCATTTTATCCTTTGCCATGTGTCTGTCTTGTTTGTTTGTTGCTATACACTGAAATGTTATGCTCAATTAAAGGTGAGTCACAAGGTTGCCAGAAGAGATCACAGCCAGCTCTGCAGATATACAAACAGCGTCTGCATGTGAGGCAGGATTACACTGTGACCATGTGACTGGTCTGCCCTTAGCTGGACCTCTAACAAAAGACAAGCTAAATCTATCCAGGACAACAACCACCGGTCTTAAACTCCCTCAAATAAAACATTCAGTGGACCTCAATGAATCAATGCATCAAGCTGCTGCAAAGGAGACAAAGCAGAAACTTAGAGTGTAAGGTTCTCTCTGCAACAAGTTGACTTTACTTGTACACAAACTTAAAGTAGTACTTGCTGAAGGGAGTTATATTATCAGATATTTGTGCAAAAACAGCAATTTAGCTACATTCTTAACATTTGGGCAGGAAATCATTGTTCACATCAAAGATTTTATTTTGTATTGTAAATTATACCAACAATGAAATAAGAAATTAAGAACAAGCACCAATGTACAGTATGATAATTGAATTACTAAGGCCTACTTCACTAGCATGTTCCAACATAACATTTCCCAGCTGGCATTTTCATCAGTCAACCATAATGTAATTTTTTTAAATGTATTAATCTAACCAAAGTTTCAAAATTTGAAATAAACATTTCATGATCTTTTTAGCTCATTTAAGCTGAGTCACAAAGCGGTGAGGTGACGCAGTAAAGAGGCGGTACATGATTGGAGCTTTGCAGATAAAGCTTGGGACAAGATGCATGATCTCTAAACATGATTATGGCCATACAGTATGAGCATTGAAAAACAACCATGTTTCAAACAGGATTCTATCATAATGATCAGGATGTTTACTCTGTCGGCTGGCCTGCTATTGTAACTTGATACTAGTCAGATGAAGCTTTCTCTCCCCTGCAGTTGTTCAGCTACTTTAGATTCAAGGTTGGTCTTTGTCACAGTTACAAACCGTGAGCGTCCAAACTTGAATTTGTTTTCTCTTTCCTGTTTCCTGGCCATTTCGTCCCCTGCACCAGAAAGCAGTTGTCCTGCTGACAGAGCTTTTGTTCTCTGTGAGGAGAAACCATCACCGAAACTCAAGGGGGCTGGGTGGCTTTGAAACACACTTTGCTTTACAACACTGACATGAAATGTTGCTCCGAAGGCTAATGAGGAAATGTGCACGTAAACACAGCATTGAAATAAGGAACAAACAGTCCGTTCCTTTTTGAAGTTTGATAAGAGATTGTGTGTTTAATTTCTTCATAAGGTTGTTCAATCAATTATTTGTCTTAATTTCTGGCTCCAAATCTTATAAATACAACCCCAAATAGCTTGAACATTAATCAATATGCCTTTACTTCCTATTTCTGAAACAACTGTAGTTAAGGTTATTTGTAGGCCAACAGTTTTTAATACATTTCTCAGTGTCTTAACAGTTCATGGTTTTGTCATATCAAACAATTGAATAAACAAACTGTGGTTAGCATTAGTGAGCATGATTTTGATGCTTTACCTTCAAGACATGGCAATACGTGGCTCTGCCATCTGTTTGTTTGGCATGTATTGCCTTAGATCAGGGGTGTCAAACTCAAGGCCCGGGGGCCAAATCCGGCCCGCGACCTCATTTTATGTGGCCCGCAAGAGCTTGCAAAGAATATAATATACAATACAATTGGTGTAATTGTTGAATATTTGCTTTCAATGATTTGCCCTAGACTTCTGCTTTCAGACGTAGTTATTTAGGAAGATATTACCAGAACTGATAATAATCCAATGCAGGGCCAACAATGTAATATAATACATTATTTAATATATATTATATATTTACATATGTATATTTATATATAATTAAAATTACAAACGGCCCTTTGAGTGCAACCATAATGCTGATGTGGCCCGGAATGAAATTAAGTTTGACACCCCTGCCTTAGATGAAGACATAAACCACACTGAACCACTGGTGTATGCACAAGACATAAACAATTATCTGTAGTCGTCTGTTTAGCCGCACTAACACAACCATTTTTTATGATAACATTTAGCTGATTTTGCCAAGTGGTGAAAAGTCACTTTGACTGTTTAGACCACATTATTCTAAACAAGATTAAAAGAGTCTACAGTCATGCATCTCTGTGGGGCTGCACTAAGGCACAGTGTTGTGCTAAGTTAAATGCTAAATCCTAGCATGCTTATAAATAATAAAATAATACAGATAATATTAAAGATATAGGTCTTGTTATTGTATTTTAAAATATCAAATAAAGCAAATAAAAAAATATCAAATAAAAATAGACAAAGATAAAATAAATGTGTATACTCAAAAAGATCATTTTAATTAATTCAAGGAACATCACTAATTCTTGGAATATTGACTTCTACTTTAATTTAAAGACATTGAACGTGTCTGCTAAATGTGTACTGCCTGCGAGTACTTTGCACGTATTTGGCACATTTTGCAAGTGCATGTAAACCAATCGTGCCATGAGAACATGAATTACGTGATGGATTATTTCTGGAGATATAGGCTGTATACATGGTGACAGACTGTTATGAATCAGGGGAAGGGCCGACGGAGGGAGGCTGTCGCTTTAAGAAGTTGATGCATGGAGACTGGTGATTTTCCACTCAAACTGATATTAAACGCGCACCAGCCTGTAGAAACAATGGTCTGAGAAAAATAGATTTCCTCATTTCACTCAGTGCTAAAACGCAGGCTACAAAACAAGGAACAACAACAGACTGCTTGATACCACGAGGAAAGGTAAATCGGCATCTTCTTTACGTATCAATTCAGGAAATTACGAATATGAATGTTCATTTCATTTTTTTAACGGCAAGCATAACTAAAGTAGACATCTGTTTCTGTTGTTAAAATATTGATTTAAGAAAACCACGCTGCGTTGAATTGTAATTTGTCCTGTTTTGATGTTAAACATCAGGCACGCGGATTTATTTCCTGTCCACATTTGTTCTTTTTCTTTGACATGAAGCTGTGTCCTACTTAAATACTGTCGTTTGTACATGTTTTAAAAACAATTTAGGCAATATTGATTTTTTTGGATTATTACAAAAACCCAGTTTTGGCCTTTGAACCGGTTTCCTGTGTTTACAGAGCAACCCGTTTCTATTTGATCGTTATTTGGAGGTCTGTCATGGTGCGTTCAGGAGCAGCTCCGGTTTCAAAGTGCCATGTGATGTGTTTAGGACGGGCATAGACTGTACTGTATAAGGGGTAAATACATGTGGTTATTATCTCCTTCAGAGTCCAGGTACCCGTTCACCCTCCACACCCACAATGAATGAAGGAATTGATTCATGTCTATGCAACGTTCAAAGCTAAAGGGGCGTCTGATAAGACTACTAGCTTATATCTTATATCTGGACATACTTAACCCACTTCCTCTGTCTGCAACCTGTCCAGTGTATGATTGATTCATGTTGTCCTTTCTTAAACCCAATCCAAAAACTGATACATACCAGGTCAGCAGGATAACAAATGACCGGCACCTTCTTTTTAAGCTGCATGTGCTGAAAGAAAAGCGGGGTCATAGGGCCTTTGGGGGTGTCTTTGAGGGGTTTCCTGAGGTTCACCATGCAAAATAAGGAGTAGATTCTAATATATAGGATCATTTTAACCAGTATTTCTAGTCAAATGTGACTTTCCCAGTCTATAGTTTAACATTTTAGTGTGAAATTATATTAAATGTTTTAACTGTTTCAACAATACAACAACAATACACCATTCAACAATAACTAAAGCTTTTTGTTAGCTATGAGTATGGAAAGTTGCACTTTATAAGGGTAACTCTGTGTGTATCTGGATAACCCACATGAAATTCTTTCTCTTCTAAGCATCTACCTTCAAAACACAAATCCTGTGATCGCTCGCATACGCATAATAGATTAGACAGCCTCTATCAAAGGTTATGTAACCAAAAATAGTATACAGGGCATGAAACCAAACTAAACATGATGGATAATGGCATCATGCAAAGTTAAGAGGTGTCAAAAGTGTGTCTGTGAAGTGCTCAAATGACAGCTTGCCATCAGCTGATCCTTGTCCCCCTCATTTAACTGTGCAAATCCTGCAGAGGAATGTATCAGTTTTTAATTGAACCTTGCATGCCAGCCTTTGCACAGCCATTGTGTGCTCTCTGAGCAGTGAATGGTATCTATACAGTTTCATGGACGAGCAGAGAGAGGCACACATTTCCTTATTAGGAGTTGTTATAAACTCATACAGTACTCGTTTACATTTCACAGATAACAAACTACATGTCATGAAAGAATGAAGGACCAGTGATTCGAAATGTCCCACATACCAGGTTTTATCACAGCATACGCTTGAATAAAAATAGTTTTCTCACAAAGATGCTTGAGAGTGGCGTGTTGATGTTATTAGGGACTTGTTATGAAACAGTGTCTCCTATTTTACTGCTGATTGAGTTTGCATCAGTTAAAAGAAGCACTTAAACTCTCAATGCTGCCTTCAGTTTCATTTTATTCAATTGTACAAGACCATAATTCAAGGCCGACCCCCAGTCTTGGACAAGCCTCTAACTTGTTCTCTGTGTCTTCGACATGAATAAGAAGTGTGTGTGTGTGAGAGTATGTGTATGTGTCACATACTCACCCCCCACCACTTGGTTATGTGTACGTTTGTGGGCAGGGAGTAGTGGGAAGTGGAAATTTACAGTCTGCCGCGTTGGTACCTGAGTCGTCTGTCACAGCTAGGCTGCGTCCAATCTCCACTTTGGATTTAATTGTCTTTAGAAAAGGGGCGGGCCCTGCTGTCAGCTTCACTTCTTGTGACCGGTGTCGCATAAAGGCATTCAGTACAGAGGAATGGTAACAGCAGAGGGAGAGGAACTCTATACATAGTTGCAGCCATGAAGGAAATGTAAGTTTTCTAAATTGCTTTACTGAAAGGAGACTTTACTGTTCAGGGTTTGCATGTGATATGTCAAGTTTTCTTTTATTAATGGGCTTTAAATAGTTAAATGGTGTAATGCTGTCATGGATGAATAAATGTTGAACAAGTCTATTTTTGTGCTAAAAGGTTAAACTAATAGAAACAAAACTGTTTGTTGAGATTCATTTTGACGGGATGTCTAGTTAGGAAGAGTAAGTGATTTCAATAGAATATTTGTTTTCTTTTTGTGTTTTTTTTTTTTCGGTTAAGGAATTTGTAGCTAAGTATGTCTGGTTTAAATCCCAAGGACAGTTTGTCTTAAATCTTATCTGTCGGGCCGGCAGCCTCCTAACACCATGCAGGCAGGTGGAAGCATACGCTGAGCAGACGAGGGGAAAAGGGGGGAAAAGAGATAAAGAGAGAGAGATAGAGAGAGATAGAGAGAGATAGAGAGAGATAGAGAGAGATAGAGAGAGATAGAGAGATAGAGAGAGAGAGATAGAGAGATAGAGAAACAGGATGAGAAACAAAGTGGGCAAGAACTGATCCAGTTATGTAAGGAGGTCTGAGAATGGAAAGCGGTTCAAGTTGACTTGTCATGCATAACAGGAACAGAGAAAATGGAATGTGAGGTTACAGTCTTAATGTGTTTGTTGGTAGAAGTAAACAATTCTGAAAGGGACATGCTGTCCATTTTTCAACAACGAATGAAGAGCAAATCTCAGGGTGATGTTTTTGAAGCATGAACGTTTTTCGTACAACGTGTACTATTATTATCTGAGCTTCAACAATCAACATAGTCTGAATTTATTTTGGGTCTCGCAAAAGTTACGGGAAGTACTTGATGTTGCTCAGTTCTTCTCTTAAAAGAAGAGGAAGTATTACATTTCATTTTGTATGTTACAATTACTGTTTTTGTGCTTTATTATAGCCATAAATCACATTAAGTTTCTTCACAACTTCCAAATGTATTCTTGTTCTCCAAGGGGTTTATTTTCTCTTCTTTGGCTCATGCGGGGAAATAAGATACTTTAGCAAGTGATGCTAAATCCTGTGTTTCTTGGAAAGGCGGTTTACAGTGTAAACACGCTAGTGAACCTAAGCCGCTGTATCGTCTCGAAAGCAGCCAGGGCTTTAGCAATGCAGAGGGGTATCTTTTTCTCTAAATTTGGATTGTGGAGGACCTACTCGTTGCCGATACTTCTTAGAAAGCTAAGAAAAAAACGTTCCTCCAGGGTCAGGTGAAGTCTTAAAGTCCTGCATCGTGTCCAAACATACCCTTCCTTTTTCTTCAGGGACAATGTGCCCCCCTCTGAGCAGAAAAATACACCATGAATGAGATGGAAACCAGCGAGCAACAGCTATCAAATTGGGGATGTGCTCATGCTATTGCCATGGTGGTGGTTTAGCCAATTGTGCGATTTCTTGGCAATACAGTTTAAGGCATTAAGATGTTTTTTCTAAAGATAGATGTATTGATTAATTGATTAAATTATTAAGACAGAAAAACAAACACAGTGGGTATGCTCTACATTGTTGGATAATCCTTGTCCATTGCTTTTAATTAACAAAATATTTCTCTTGTCTGAATGACCTTCCTGCATCAGTTGTTCAGATAAGCAAGATTAGCAACATAGTACTGTATATCACGTATTCAGTGGTTACACAGCACGGTGTAGCGCAATCACGAGACAGCATTATCTTCTTAATTTTCCTCCCTATATTTGTCTTACCCCAATTCACCTCTGTTTCTCTGTCTTTTTCTCTCTCCATCTTGCGTGTCCTTTTCCTTTTTACCGTCCACAGCATGGCACAAAAAGAGAAGCTTCAATGTTTAAAAGACTTTCACAAGGACACCCTTAAACCTTCACCGGGGAAGAGCCCGGGCACGCGGGCCGAGGATGAGGCTGAAGGCAAGGCGCCTCAGAGGGAGAAGTGGGACAGTAAGCTCGACTTTGTCCTGTCCGTGGCCGGAGGCTTTGTTGGATTAGGAAACGTCTGGCGCTTTCCTTACCTTTGTTATAAAAATGGTGGAGGTAGGCAAAAGATACTTAATGTTATTAATGCAAATTGTTAAGCAGAAAACACAAATTGTTACTGAAATACGTCTCATTCCCATTACCCAGGAGCGTTTCTCATCCCTTACACCATCTTCCTGTTTGGGGGCGGCCTGCCTGTGTTCTTCCTGGAGGTTGCTTTGGGCCAGTACACGTCTGAAGGAGGGATCACCTGCTGGGCCAAGCTCTGCCCCATCTTCACTGGTCAGTCCAAGCATAAACACTGCACATATTCTCACACACACAAACAGAAAAAAAAAGAGGCTATGCATCCCCAAGCTAAATCTTTCCTGACGGGATCATTTAATATTTAATGCTGAGTAAAAGCTTAATTTGTCCTAACAAGAATCCTGCCCTGGTTTTCTTTCTGTTTTAGTCAATTGTTCATCCTTAGTTGACATCATGTTCTTCTAAAGGTGTCCTTCCCCATTTCTAACATTGTAAGTGGACCAGTCTTACTTCATCAGGATGCTTTGTGTTATGTAAAGGACACTAAACACTACATTTAAAGCAGGAATAATGAGAGTACTGAAGATGGATTAGTATGGAGGATGATTTATCCACGGTCATGTTTACATTCATGCACACACGCACATTAACGTCTATTTAAATTAACACAAGGATATGGAACATGAAAGTAGGCGCTCCAAAACATAAAGTCATTGTTAGATTGCAGATTTTGTGACCGAGTAGATTGATGAGTTGCCATGGAAACAGACTAGCAAAAGAAACACAAGGTTGCCTAGCAATGACTCTGCATAAAAACGTAATAATATTTGTTGACAATGCGGGTCCACTTGTTTTCTCCTAGCTCATAGGGTGATATGAATAGTGTATGACGTCTGTGGGAGTTGTCAGGGTCGGGTTCCTTCACCTGTTCCATGACCTGAGATCACCAATTAGCTACTGATACTTTAAGGCACTCTTGGGTGCAACCCTTAACCTTTGATTGACAGCTGAAGACAAGCACAGAGGTCTCGCACCTTCAGCAGCTGCTGTGACGCCTTTACTCATGTTCACACACGGGACATGACATGAAGAGAGAGGAAGCTGTGCCTCACCAGATCTCTACCAGCTGCCGATGGTCTCCGCTATTCAAGGAACGCTGAGGCGGCTGTCTGTCCATATGGCGCAGCGTCTGGCACAGCAGAGAAAGTCCACAAGTGGCAGCAAAACTAGCCAACCACAATCCTCCAAATGTTTTCCCTCCCGCCTTCACATGTTTTAGCACACAGTGAAATTCATGACTTTACTCCCTGCACTCCAACACGTAGTCAAGTCCATGCAGACACACACACACGCACACCTGTCACAGCGTTGACTTGTCTATCAGTTCAAGTTTGGTATGTGGGAACAAGGCAGTGGGGGCAACAGAGATGATGAGATTAAAAATACTCTTGAGCAGTACCAGGGATTTCTGTGTCCAGGTTCGTGGCAAAGTCATCTAAAAATAGCATTAAAACACTAACGACATTATAACAGTAAGATAGCAGAGTCTAGTTCGGGCAGCTTTCCCTAATTTGACTTGATAATGAGTAAGTTGTTATTTATGTTTGTGAAAGCCTTCTTTTTAAGTTGTTCAGCAACAATCTCCACCTCACACAAGTTTTAATTTAAAGGGTTATTTCCCACCGGGCAGAAAATCTGTGCTGTGCTGCCCTCTCTGTTTGAAAGTTGAAGCTCTGACCACACCCAGAGTTACTGATGGTGTGGTCAGAAGTACACTTGTACACCACAGGGGCAAGGCAAGATGTAAAACCACTAATGCTGCTGGTAAATCGGCTATAATCACTATTTTTACAACAATGGATAACAATACTACTTGTTTGTGAAAGGAGTTGCTTGTAGTGACAAACCCACAGAGAACTAGCACCTGACTCTATGGTTGATATTACCCACTGAGAGACTACAAGCAGAACTTAAAGACAGTGAATATCAGACTTACATTATATGGTGACCAGAAACATATGAAATGCATCAACACAAATCTAAATCATAACTGTATTATATCTATCTCTATCTAAAATCTGCTTTCTTTTCTTCCTTTCTGCAGGTATTGGCTATGCCTCTGTCGTGATTGTATCTCTACTGAACATCTACTACATCGTGATCTTGGCCTGGGGACTGTACTACCTGTTTCACAGCTTTCAGCCGGAGCTCCCCTGGGCGAAATGCAAGCAGCCCTGGAACACAGAATTCTGTGTGGAGGACACAGTCCGCAAGAACAAGACCTTTTGGCTAGCAGCCAACATTACCAACTTTACCTCCCCCGTCACTGAGTTCTGGGAGTGAGTATTCATGCCTGACACACACACACACACACACACACACACACACACACACACACACACACACACACACACACACACACACACACACACACACACACACACACACACACACACACACACACACACACACACACACACACACACACACACACACACACACACACACACACACACACACACACACACACCACACACACACACACACACACACACTCACACACTTTGTACTGCACCTTTCACATGTTAAATGAAGCTCCTCAAAGTTTCCATTGCCTTTTTAAATGCCTGTTTGCTTTGAGTCATGTTTAAATCATCTGATTCATCATAAGTTTAATGCCTCTTACAGACTATTGTTTATGCAGCATTAGACCTAAAAGCCCTAAAGACTCTTTTCAAATATCTATCTCACCATTTTGGTGTTATCACAAAGGCCAGAGCAGCAGAACAGCACAGAATGACAAAGTCATTTGTCTGTCTGACTTGTGTTTTCTCTGCAGGCGCAACGTCCTGAGCATCTCCTCTGGGATTGAGGACATCGGGGCCGTGAAGTGGGACCTGGCCCTGTGTCTCCTAGCAGTGTGGGTTATCTGCTTCTTCTGCATCTGGAAGGGAGTCAGGTCCACTGGGAAAGTGAGTGCTGGGACACAGACACATCCTGTATTTATTGCGTTGCCATGGTGCTGTTTTTTGTTTGGCATTTTCACCCCGATAAATCAGTGACAAAACACTGTTGCTCAGAGAAAAGCCACATGCTTGGAGGGCTGTTAATTTGGTGGATTTAGAGACACAAGCCACTGCGCTGCCCTGAAAGTTTCTTGTTGGCCAGACTCACTGTCGGCTGTAAACAGTTGACTGCCGTTCCTTTAGCCCTCTCTGTGTTTCTGAAACTGGGCGGGAGCCAACAGGAGGAGCTCTGTGAGGAAAATTATTAACTCTATTAAGGAGCTCTTGTGTGTTTATCAGCGTGAAGCCTTTATGCTGTGTAGTGTACTGCTTCATGCTCTGTTGGGCATCTCAAATCCTCATTATGACTTCTGGTGACAGTAAAGAAGTCCTTTTCCCAGACCTTACCTACTTTTTCTTTGTCAAAAATACTTCTGGAAAAGAGGGGAAATGTTCGCCAGATAACATGGACAACGTTTATTTTGACATTCAGTTAGAAATGAGAACTTAATAATGAAGCTTTGTCTTTACCGTTATATTTAAAGGGTGACCAGTCATAAGTGTTGCTCAGTATTTTTGGCTGATACTTCCTTGTCCTTTCTAGGTGGTGTACATAACCGCAACTTTCCCATTCGTGATGCTGATTGTGTTGTTGGTGCGTGGAGTAACCTTGCCTGGGGCATCTGAAGGGATCAAATTCTACCTTTACCCTAACCTGACCCGCCTACAAGACCCAGAGGTAGGATCAAAAACTCTTCTCCTGTTTTTCTCCTCTACTTTTTTTTATGCAACTCGATTACATCATTTTTTTCACGAGTGATTGGATTAACAACAAAACCAAGCCGACATCTCTCAATAGGCTAGTCCACATGTGCTCTGTGCAAAAGCTGAGCTGAAATGGATAACATTTAACCAAGCTTCATAGAGTACGTGAGGTTTCAGATAAAACTGTAAAAAGTGCGCTCGGTAGAGTGCAGATCTCTGCCAGGTGTGTCTCCCGCTCCCATACCAAACAAATAAGAGTTTAATTTCAATCAATTGTCCCTCCGGCCCACCTTACACTCAAGATTGTGGTGGGAATAAGAAAAACAGAGATTTATTCATCTCATGTGGTAAAAAAATCAATATTTACACTAAAATGTTTGCCTTCTTGATATGAGCAATCACTTTCGATAAGCTGACTAGTATGGAGCTCATGATAACATTTCCAAAACACTTTCATAACAGGTGTTAAGAAACGTGTTTCTGCCCCACAGCCAACCTGCTCATTGTAATTTAGTAGCTTTAAAATATTTGTTTATCAGGGGACATTGCTTTTAAGATTTGCACTGGACTCTATGTACCATACTGAAAGTGCACTGGCATCCTTATGTGATATCCCTAACCAGTATCACTGTTGACAAGCTGTGAATCGCTGATGTGGACCCGACTGGTTCTGTTTCACAGTTTGACGTCATCAACATTGGATCACATTATGAAAACGTACTTGTCTTCTGTCTCGTTAGGTGTGGATTGATGCGGGAACCCAGATATTCTTCTCCTACGCCATTTGCCTGGGAGCCATGACGTCCCTGGGGAGCTACAACAAATACAAATACAACTGCTACAGGTGAGCAGTGTTTCCGCTGGGGGGGGAGTGGGACTGTAGTAGTGACAGCAACTCGTGTCAGAGACGGTTGCGTGAATAGAAAATGGGAACTTCGGTTCCACCTGTGTTCATTAACAACCTCCATGACATATGTGTGACATAGGGACTGTTTGCTGCTGGGAGGCCTCAACAGCGGTACCAGTTTTGTGTCTGGCTTCGCAATATTTTCCGTCCTGGGCTTCATGGCACAAGAACAAGGGGTGGACATTGCCGATGTGGCAGAGTCAGGTACGAGGGTCCAAGGGGATGGCAGCAGTGATGGTGGGCACTGTTGCCAAAAAAAAAAGACAATTGGAAACTCAAAACCAAGCAAATTTTTAAAAAGTTATTAATTCAAGTCTCGGAAACGATGATGCTGAAATGTAGAGGTATCGGCAATTGCACACTCCTTGATTAAAAGCCTCAAAAGAAACAGAATTGTTACTTCAGTGTGAAATCTGTTGCACCTTTTCTGCGGACAGATTACATGGCATTGGTGCTGTGTGTTTTAGCTACACAATGACCTGCATGGTTAAAGATCTCATCACTACTTCAAGTGTTCAATGGCACCAGGTGTCTTCATGTCCCACAGTCAACCCACTCATTTCATTCAGAAGCTTTACATCTTCTTGACCAGGGGACTTTGCTAAGAAGATTTGTACTGTATGTACTAAGTGCACTGGCACCATGATGTGATATTTCTCACCAGCAGCACTGTTAACAACTGTGGATCTCCCGAGTGGACGCCACCGGTTCTGTTTCTGCCTTCCTTTATACTCTATGTGGACTTTGAAGGAGATGCGTCTTCTTTCAGCATGCTCGCTCTGTTCAGTTTCAAATTACACTCTTTGCTTTCTTTAAAACTGGAATATAATTACAGTATTTATTTGATGGCATGTTAGTGTGTACATTCACAATATTCCACAATATATATTAAAACAAATGAAATTAAGAATATGTTTCATGTAGAACTGGCATTTCGCTCAGCTCTTCAATTGAGGCACTAGTTTGTGATTGCTGACTTTGTGTCTCATTGAATCCTGTTGTAATGGTATGTGGCTTTGTTGGGATTAGATTAGATTAGATTCCAGTTGGATGTTATTGCACACAGTACCAGCTATAATACAGTATGTACTGTATGAACAGGACCTTTTATAAATAGCATTTACAGTGGAAGGGCCATTACAGGAAGCAGTAATGTCATATCTATAGTGCAAAGAGAGACAAAACGTAAGGTTCAATGTTATTAATAAAAGTACAGAGACACTAAAGCATGAAAAAAACAATTATATTGGGAATTGTATTTCCTTATAGTTTACAAGAGTACATAAAGCCAACCATAGATTTAGATTATTGGCAGTGCCAGACCATGCTCGGCCTGTCTATCTCAATCTTAACACACATTTTTCCATTCCCCTATGTCGTCCAAGCTGGAATAAAATACAGATATTAATGTTGTTCTCCTCCCCTTCTCCCCATCCCCGCTATGCTTTCCCTCCAGGTCCTGGTCTGGCCTTTATCGCCTACCCTAAAGCTGTGTCCATGATGCCGATGCCAACCCTCTGGGCCGTGCTCTTCTTTGTCATGCTGTTGCTTCTGGGCCTCGACAGTCAGGTCAGTATTTTCACAATCACCGCGGCTCCTGTCGCGTAAAGGCCAGAATAATTAGTTGGTGATCTGTGCTCTGCAATGTTTAGTCGACGGAAAAGTTAACGCAAACTAATTTGATAATAGATAAGTTGTGCAAGTTGTGAAAAAATTGCAGAAATGCTGTTTTTTAGCCTCATAAATATCCATAGTCCCTGCTTTTATCTCTTTATATCATATTCAACTAAATATCATTGGGTTTTGAACTTACAAATCAAGACATTTAAAGAAATCGATATGGAATGTTAGAAACTGAGATCGATTTTTTTTACACTTATACACCAAACAATTCATCAAGAAAGTAACCGGCAGATTAATCGATAATGAAAATAATCGCTTATGGCAGCCTTAAAGAACTGCCCGTTTAATTTACCTTCCAGGTCCTTTCCAGGTTAGTTGGCTCCTGCCATCCACAATGTGTAAAACACATTAAGTGTCTCAGATCCATATCGAACGTCTCCAAGGTATCAGATAACTGTCAAACAAGAAAAGCAGACTTTTCCCACAAAGGAATTTTATTATCACGCTCGACCGCACTTGATGAGGCTTGAATTCCCTTTAAAGCCCTGTAGTAACACAAATGAAGTTTTAGAAGATGATACGCGTTAAAAGCCAAACATGTACTTAGTAGAAGTCATTATGATAGCTTGCATGCAAACCATTGCGACTGAGCTTTGAACAAGAAAAGATAATCTACATAGACAAAACACGAGTGTGCAATAGAGAGATTCGCCGGCCAGATCACATTTCCTGCCTCCAAGTGTAATTCTACTCCTGTGCTAACTCAGTCCTGCACATGGCCCGCTACTTCTCTCAGCCAACTGTGAGATCAGGCCAACGCTCTAAATTTGAGCACATGTAAATACTCATGCGGTTATTTCCATGAGACATGTTGGCAGTTACAGTTTGTGCGCGTGTGTGTGTGTGTGGGTGCGTTTCTTGACCATAAAATTAATTCAGTCCTGAATGCTATATATTGTTAACATCGCTCACACATACGTGCCACTGTTATGTAAGGGCTTTTTGTTTGGTTTTCATGCAACAAAGAAGCATGTTCTTGGTAAATTGGAACAATCTCATGATTTTGTTATGACATTATGTAGCTTATGATGAGGCATTAGAGGCCAAGGGGAACAAGAGGGAGACAGATGGGGAGACAGAAACAGAGATTTACTGTTTTGTTTCTGTTGCATCTTGGTAGCAACAAACCAGTGCTGCAAAGAGGAGCCCTGTGTAAATTATCATTACTGCTCAACAAAGACAGCTTTCATTCTCTAATCACTGGTTTGCAGAGGCTACACAAGAGCTGCATGCACACAAAAAGACACTTCTGAGAACTTAATAGTTGTTTTTGTCCCCACAGTTTGTTGAAGTAGAAGGACAGATCACCTCCATTGTGGATCTATATCCAGCAGTCCTCAGGAAGGGTTACCGACGGGAGATGTTTATAGCTGCGATGTGTTTGATGAGCTATCTTCTTGGACTCGCCATGGTAACAAAAGTAAGTTCACCAACAGTCACTTTTATTGGAGTTTCTACTGCTTATCCTGTTTAGAGAAGGAAAAGAGAGTCTGTGTATTCGGATCAACGGCAGAGATAACGCCACAGACTTTCCACTTGCCTCTCGACTGCCTCTCGACTGCCTCATTGTTACGACCAAATATGGCTTCCTACCACATCCACAGCTCACATCCTGTATGTCTGAATGGAACAATTTGGAATGCCATTTTCCATTTAGCAGTTAACTGTGCTCCAATGGCGTCTCAGCACCTGTTGAACTCTGCCTCTGTTGGTAGTGTGCCAGCATTCTTGTGCACTGCTTTTAACACCCCCCATCCACTCTGCTTTTATACCCTCCTCTATCGCTTTGACTTTCTTTCGTTTCACACACAACAGAGAGATAATTAATGTCGCTTTTCTTCTTTCTTTCTTTTCTTTTTTTCTAGGGTGGCATGTATGTGTTTCAACTCTTTGACTACTATGCAGCCAGTGGTGTGTGCCTTTTGTGGGTTGCATTCTTCGAATGCATTGCTGTCGCCTGGGTTTATGGTAAGTGGACACAACTATGTTTTTCTGTAACGTCGTTTTTCAAATTAATGATCCTGAAAAGTTGAGAAAGAAAAAGCAGAAATGATCTCTTTGGTCGTAAACAAAGGTGTCCTTGTGGTTCGTCACACATCAGTAGTTAAAAACTTGAACTGCATGCAGGGGCGTGGTGAGGGGGTTGGGGATGGTGTTGGTCCCCTGCTAGAATAAGATTGGCTATCCAGGGTTGCCTCCCTCTAGACCCATTCTTTTATTGTTAATGAAGGAAGAAAATAAAAACCCTAATTTGGAAGAAAGCAACTCTGCATTGTCCAAAAATAGACGCATTACTGATATTGTGTTGCTATCTGATTCCATAAATCATGCATCGGCCAAACGTGCAGCCACTATATGTACACTTTTGTGACTCTGAGGCTAAGTATGCTTCACCAAAACTCCCCAGGACTCAGAGTTAGGTGGCTTGGAACATAAAATATATTTAATTTAGCTTTCCTACCTTTCAAAATGTCTCCGCATTTCTAAGTACCATCGCCGGACTGAAGTCTTTTCCTTTTAAGAAACAAATACTGTCCTTATAACAATAGACTAGTCCCTTAGATACATGAATCAAATCCATCTTAATTGCTTGGCCTCAGTGTTCCTGGCCTTCAGGATTACAGATGCGTTACTCTTTGATTAATGTGCCGTAGACATATGCAACATATTACAAGTAAAAAAAAAAAAAGAAAAAAGGTTGGGAACCAGTGACTTTTGGGAGCTGTTTTCTATCATTGTTACGAAATATGCTATTATAACAGCACCACAAAGGACCTTACTAACATTCGTCTGTATTCCCTTGCCAGATGTTAAAAAGGAACTAAAAACAAAACAAAAGAACATATTGTTAACGTGTACAAAGGAGCATAATAATAAACATCAGGCACATGTGAACCACAGCACACACAACCCACTATACAATGCAATAGCACACATAGTTCACTGCAATAAACGTGGAAGGACAAATAATGACCTAGTAGCCAGACTGTTTATACTATATACATGTTATATGGTGCAGGACTTAGTGAAAATATAATTGCTGCAGTTAAGGGCAGACTGCAGAGATAAGGGGTAGAATGAAGGTCAGTCTGCGATAACAAAAATATCTCGGGAACAGTACAGACACATGGTATTGCTTGTACAATGTTCAGTAACTTAAGGGGAACTACAGGTTGGGTTAGGTTAGGTTAGGGCTACATCTAACCCTTTTTTTTTTCAGCGATTTACATTTGTATTATTTACTCGATTCATCATTTGGTCTGTAAAATGTCAGAAAATTGTGAAAGATTTCCTTCCTAAAAAAAGTTTTTTAATCGCCTTGTTTTGTTAGTCCAAAACCCAAAGATTTTCAGTTTACAATGATATGAAAAGTAGCAAACTTTTTCTGCCATTTTTGCATGAAATAATTACTCAATTCAATATGTTTTGGATTTATGTATACCAGTATGTAAGCTGGCACTCATGGTATTCTGTGTTCCCTTTGTGTTGGATAGGAGTCGATAATTTCTACGATGCAATTGAAGATATGATTGGCTACAGACCAAACTCATGGATGAAATGGAGCTGGTCTTATATCACACCTGTCCTCTGCATGGTGAGAGATGAGCGACAGCTTTTTAAGTTTCACTTGATAGTGTCGAATGAAGATATTGTTGATGAAATGTTGATAGTTGGAGATTCAAGGTCACAGGGAGGTGTACAAGTTGTACTAAAATAAGTATGTTTTTGTTTCCCAGGGCTGTTTTATCTTCTCCCTGGTGAAGTATAAGCCCTTGACCTATAACAAGGTGTACGAGTACCCTGACTGGGCCATCGGTATTGGCTGGGTTTTGGCCCTGTCCTCCATGATCTGCATCCCTATGGTGATGGTCATCAAGATCTTAAATTCTGAGGGATCCCTGATCGAGGTGAGCTCAACAAATAGTGTTTTTAAAAGAATAGTTGGAACATTTAAAAAAAATTGCTTATTTGCTGTCTTGTTGAGAGTAAGATGATATTACTCTTGTACCTGTACCCTAATACTGAAACTTTGCTTAGCATAAAAACTGGAAACGGCGTGAACAGCTAGCCTGGTTTTTCTAAAGCTAACCTAACAACATTTCTAAAGCACACTAATTAAACTACTGTTTGTTACATCTGTACTCAAATCAAAGTAAAAGAGTCATATAAGCTGAGACAGCTAAAGGCTAGTTTTCAGTATTTTTCAACATAAATGGGACTTAAAACCCGAAGAGTACAAATCTTGTTACCAACCTGCCTTAGGTGTTAATTGTTTTGACTGAGATTACTTTTGACAAAATCATCATTTGAAAAAAAAAAAAGAAAGAAAAAAGAAATATGAGGGAAACAAACTAAACGATAGCTAACTCTAGCTAGCCATCCTCCCTCAAAAGTTTGTAGATATACAGAAAATGTGTAGCTACGGCTAGCTACTATCTCAACTACCTCAAAGATAATTTTCTATTATCAATTATTACTAATAGGTGTGAATTACGAAGCCCTAAACTGTCAGCTGTCAGTAAACATGCAGATTAGCTCCATGCGATAGTTCAAGCCAGAGCAACCTCTTATGGTCACATAAGTCGCTTTGCATGTCATTGCGGCACATCAACAGTCTCAACTTGTCACCATGAGGTTGTTTAGCAACCAGGCTATCTGTTTCCCTTTGCTTAAGGTCATTCTGCCAAACTAAGCTAAACTAACATCTCCCGGCTGCAGCTTCACATTTAGCAAGTGTAGATTTTATTTTCATCTCAATTCCTGACTGAAGTATGAAGAAGCCTGTTCCCCAAATGTCCGTCAAATTTAAATCAACATGGCTTGAAATTTTGAACATGGACAAATTCAGATGCGATGTTTGTCATTTAAAATATAATAGCTGTCATTCTGAGCATTATACTGCCCCTTTTTGTGATGGTCATTGGTCTCTCGTCTCCTTCCTTCCTCAGAGGATCAAAGCAGCAGCGGCCCCGGCAAAGTCAGGCGTGAGTTCTCGCCCGAAAGAGTACAACGTGAAGGGCAGCGAGCTGACACAGCCCCTGGACGCAAACGGGACCAATGGCTTGAACAAGCCCACCCACACCATTGTAGAAACAATGATGTGAGCGCTCTCTGTGAGAGGAATAAGATTGATGTGCTTTCTGTGTTATTATCATATTTGCTAACTTTGATAATGGTAGGTTTACATCATCCAATATATTCACGTTAGAGATACTCTGATTTGATTTTTATGAAGAAAGTTATATATTATTGTTATGGGTTTTTTTTTCTCATGTAATTTTTTTTACTATATCAATATTGTTGATGTTATAATTGTTGTTGCTGTAGCTGGCACTGATCTCAGTTTAGGCAGTATTTTGAGATAGAAAATGTTCAATGTTTACTACCTTTCTGTTGATTCCGGAGAAGAGATGACGAATTTGCTTTTATGGTGTAGTAGAAGAAAAATTCTCACTTCACTTAAATTTAGTAAACTAAATGAGTAATTAGCCATGTAAAGGGAAAATACGTCTAAACACTCTCACTTTATTGTTACTGTTTTGTAGCCCTAACTATCTTTTTTAATATCTTAATGTTCATCCCTGCAGTGAAAATGAATGTACCCTTGTCTCTCAGAGTAGAAATCCTTAACATGTTAAATGGCAATATGCACTGTATATAGTTAATCTTGCTTGACATCCTTTAAGCTACAAGTTAAACAAGGCCTTGGTCAAATACTGTGAGAAATGCATTTATGAGAAAGTCCACCTTCAAAAACAGAAACGGGATAAAAAGCAAAAAACAGCCAAGGAAGAGGAAGTAAGGAGGAAAGGGAAGTGGCATTTTTAGAGTATTTGTACACAGCCTGTGTGACTACTAGTCAGTCCCAGTGCATTTATGGAAACCTCTCTTTGCACTTTATATGTCGTTTCACCTTTATTGTAGTATTTGTTTATATTGTTGCAAGCTATTTGGAGATGCATTTGCAACACATTTCAGGAGGAATACTTTTAGCTTTTAATTTTTTGATATTGTAAACTTTGATATACAGTATCTAGTTGTCTCCTTGGCCTTGCTAAGACATTGACACATTTAGAGTAGAAATCTGACATCAAACATTCTTAGCCAAATCTGTGAGAACAATTTTAAAATGTCAAAACCTTTCTTTTTCTAAACAATCCATACAGCTTTTCCCGTTGTGCTCATTACAGTAGCAGACGCGATCTACAGATCTACCACTGGATTCTAGTTGATAATGTTCGATTTAGGCATTTGTATCCTAGATCTTAAATGTTTGTAAATCACTTATGCCTTTTTGTAACAATTTTATACTGTACATCATTTGAACACCATCACTGATTAATTAATTTGACTGAAAACCTTCTAAATATTGATTACATTGTAAGATTGGATTACATTTTTCAGTGCGCAATATTCATTGAAGCAATGGAATTCTCTGCTTGCTCAAAATGCACCACAGATTTAGAGTAATGTTCAATAATGCAACATCTTGCACAGTAAAATACAAAATCTGAAGAATGTGCAGGAGCCACCACATTACCGTGCTGCTTTGTCCGTTAAAATCTCGGAGATTCAAGTGTACCAAAGTATTTTTGTCTCACAGTTGTCCCCTTTTTAGATGCACATTGCATCATTTCTATATAGATTATGAATAAACATTTTTTTTCTTTGGATTTTGTGTCATACAAATTATTTTGTTCTCTTAATATTAATGTCGGTAGCATTAGCATCCCTGAAAAGTGGAGAAATGTCCATCTGAACATGACACCACTGTTACTTTGTATCCAATATTTACAAAAATGCTTTTCTTCCTGAATGCCCAATTACTCCATTCTTCTCTTTAGTCTTGTATTTTTCCACTGTATCTACATTAAAGTTCCACTAGGAACCAGCTATTGTATTGTTGGTACCTGAAGCCTACAGCAAGAATACACTGTTAAATACATGTTTTATTCTTGCCATTAAAATGACTGCATATATTGGAGTTCCTTGCTAAAAGGAAATCTACCATCGCACAGATGATTTCGAGACTGCCTTTCAACACAATATCATATGTCTTCCGACATACATGGAATATCAAGTAAATGTGCACTGCGTAACCCTAACCCTCTGGTTTAGTGCCCGCTGGATGTTTTCACCCATGAATCAACACAACACTTTTTTTCATTAATACGATCATGTGTCAATACTAATTTGATTCTACTCTTGAAAGAACCAACTATTTATTTGAACAGATAAAACCAATGCCCCCTTTGACCCCCACCTCTCACCACTCATTGATACTTGGCGTGAATCTTTCTGGGTGACCCACCCACCATCAATCTAATGCCCCGGAACAGGTGGAAACTGCATTGACATCTCCCCCACAGGAATGATTCTGGCTTATTTGGGCATGTCTCTGGTGTCCAACCGTCCGGCCGAAGCTCTTGAGTCATTGAACCCCCTTGCGCTTTAATATACGTCACCTGGATGGTCAACATGAGTGCAGGAGGAAGCAAGGGCTCCAAATGCATTATGGCAAAGGGAGAGCACATGCATCTCTATGTCAGGCTCATTAAGTGTGGCAAATGTTGTGAAATGTCCTCAAAACTAATCAGAAACCCTGCTTGATAGTTATTTCCTGCTCTTATATTGCGACAGATATTGGATTTACTTAACATAGATGGACAATAAAATATTGTGCCCCATTTGCAATGGACACCATGTCCCAAACTGATCTTACACAGAATACTAGTTACCCAGTGTGTGACAGTAATCTAATTTAATGACGTTTCCAAACGGTCAATAGGGCTTTAAAGTCCTAAAAACATAACCTTAAACCAGGCAGTCTAAACCTAACCCTAAGCTGCCAAATATTACAAAAAGTCTTTATTATAACTTGAAATAAACACAACATATTGCATTAAACCCAACTGTTGACACGCTTTTGGGTTAGTGTGCGTTATCTTGGTGGGGATAGCCATAAACAAAACACTGTTGAGACACCAGAGCAACTATGGTTTCATGAACTTTATTCTCATAAAAAGAAATACATTTCTTAGTTTATAATAAATTAAATAACAAAAATAAAAATCATATTAATAAATAAATATTTCAAGTTACTTTGAAACTATTCCTGACTTATTCAGGGAGGATGTTGTAATTGACCACACTATGTGCAGCCACATTCAGTATCACAGCTTTCATGAAGATACTCAATGTGTGCATATACTTTAAATAAAAATAAAGCATGCCAATGATACAGCAAAATAAAAGATACAGTAAATTAATAAAATACCTTAGAAATAGGCCTCTGTGTATAACATGTCATTTTATATAAGAAATATCTGGATCAGATAAAAAAAAATTCACTGTCCCAAGGATTATTCAATCTTCTCTGAACATCGCAACTATCTCACAACATCTTCACATCGGCCAACACACGAATCAGGTTCTCATCTCCAGAGGCAGCTGGATCAGCAGGCCAGATTTGTTACACTAAAGCTTTATAAAAACACAGACATGATGAAAACGGGGCAAAGATCAAATTCCAATACCGTTTTTTTTTTTTTAAGTGAGGGATACTTGCTAAAGACAAACCCATGCCTTACATGCTTTTTGATAACGGTAGAGAAAACAGCTACTGCAGAGGGGAACATCAGATGTGGACTGAGAACAAGAAAATCATTCATCACTGAAAATGTAAAAGGCATTTCATCCTCCGTTTTGGGAAAGGATGTAATTCACTTAAGGAAGCATCAGTGATGGACCACCAACCAACCCATAAGTCATTCTGGTGTAATGCCACATATAGAGACGCAGAGTCACACAGTGAAATGTGAAAGTGAGGGAATTTTCAACAAATAAATCATAAAATGTGCCTTATGTGCAAACGCAGTGCGAGCAAGACACATGTGCAGAAACTGAAAACAGCATTTTTGTTAATGTGAGGGTGAGTCATCAAGACGGGAGCAAAAAAAAACTAAATGTATATAACTGTGGAGAACAGTGGAGTCTCTCTGGAACCATTCAGAAACTATTAAACCGTCAAGGAAAAACAGAAAGGGTAGAGTGTCTTCACAAGCATTCCTGGTATTAAAATGAAAGGAGGTTTTCAATTCAGCTAACGATCCTTGGAAACTACCAGGGAGCATTTTGTCTATTTGGAGGTCCTGTCACTTCTGTGGGACGGGCAGTGTGGGAAGAGAATGGAAACAAGGGCAGTCAGCCATGTTGTGTATGAAATTACTCAAATAAGCATAAGGGCCTTGGAACTTGAGCCCATTAACACCCTGTGTGTCAGTGCGTGCGTGTTTTATAAAGAATTGCATGTGCATATTTTATGTGCAACAAAAAGATTGCATAATAAAATGGTAACGTGAAGCTCAATCAGAGCAAAAGATATTAAATATATGCAGTGTGTGTATGTGTGTGTGCAGTGTTTGACTCTCCAGAGGCGTGTGTTAGCTTCTGACTGAGCCAGGATGTTATGACTCCTCCTGTTATATAAGCCTGCATGTGGCTTTGCCTCTGGAGAGGAAAGAGGTGGGGGTGGTGGGGGGGGGGGGGGGGGGGGCCCTGAAGCCAGAGCCTCCTCTGAACTGCATCATGGGAACACAGTGACTAAAACCGGCAGAAGTGAACACATGCACTTGTAACTTTGTGAGTGAGGGATGCTTTCAGGCGGTGAGAGTGGCCATTCTTTGTGTTGGTGTGTCAGAGAGGTACCGTGTGATAAATGTACCGTGCACAACAGTGTGTGTGTGAGTGTATGCGTGTGTGGTCCCAGTGCTTCATAAAGCTACCGTCTATCTGTGTGGTCACAGGGCGATGCTGTTGGTCCTGGGCTGCTCGTGAAAGCAGAACAGTGAATGTGAGCGGTCGTTGGAGTCGTCGGGCCGCCCGGGGTCTGCTGCCAGAGGATTCCTGCTAATGACCAGGTCCAGGGCGGCCCCTGCCTCTATAATAAGAGGTACAGTCAGACAGCAGTCCAAGTCCCTGGTCCTGGCTCGGTTCACCTAAAAAGGCATAGATTGACATTAGGGGAAATTTGCTTTTTGTTATATTGGTGAGAGATTTCATTGTAGTTTTCAGCAGGATGATGACAAGCTGTTTAGAAACAGTTTTACTGCTGTCACACACAGTAAATAATAAATGTATAGAATAGCACAAGATAAACAGAGACAATAAATGGAACAACAAAGTGTCCTTCTTATAAAAAGGGCTGTGCTACAAACCTATTTATTTTTTAATGGTTATTAGGGATTACAGTTTTGATTTAGAAGATGGAAATATTTGTTAAAATGTTTCAATTGTTCAATGGAGGATACGTTTTTACTTGCGCGTATAAAGTATATGTACAGGGGATGGATATCATTCTGATCCAACATTCACTAACAAGCAAAACATCGAATTTCTTCAAATCCATACCTGAAGAATGCGGTCGAAGGGTTTCAGCCCCGCCTTGTCAGCTGGGCCGTCGGGGCGGATCATGTTGACATAAACTCCTTTCTCCAGAAGCCCGTCGGATACACTGAAGCCAAAGTCATTGCTGTCGGGGTCCTTCCTTAAGGTTACCTGAAACACATGACACAGATTTTACAGTACAGCACATATTCTTGGCATTTACACACAGGCTTTTATGTAAACACTGCAGCAATTTAGTATTTGGGGCAGAGATTTGCAAAAGATTATAGCCGATGGCTAGAAATCCTGACTTTTTTTTTTTTTTTTACATTAGTAAAAGTCCTAAAACACTGGATCATCCTGGATTAGTTATAATGGCACACAATAGTGTCATTCATAGAGCTCATGCCTCCTAAAATGCTCATATCGTGTTTCGAGCTTTACATTAAACACTTAAAGGCTACAAGACAAAGCAGAGATAACGCTCAGAATAGGAAACCAGAGTCTCAAGAGACATTGTTCCGTTCTTTTTAACAGCCAGTGTGACTGAGCTAACCTGAAAATAAATACACAGTAGATGAGAAGGTGAATACCATTCTCATATCTGTCCATTAAATGTGAAGCTGCAGCCAGGAGACAGTTATCTGAGCCAAGCATAAATACTAGAAACAGGAAAGACTGCTTGCCTGGCTGGAGTAGATGCTACTCTTAGCTAGCTAACTGCCAGTTGTTCGACAGATAAAGAGAAATAACACTCTCCTATCGAACGTTTTGCTAGAAAATGACTAGGCACATTTTCACAAAATGTTAACTTTAAATTGTGGCCGGACAAAATAAAAGACATGATAATATGTAAGATAACTCTAGAAGGGCATTTGTCATGAAATTGGGCTTCTACATTTTCCATAATCCCTCTGACAAACAAAAACCTGAAAACATAAAATCCCTGGTGGAGGTTGTATACATTTTTAATTCATAGTCTTGCAATGTCTTGCAAACTACTACATATAAATTGTTGCAGTATTGTATCGCCACAGAGCTGCACAGTTGTGTGTCCGTTGTTCTTCCTCTGTTTATACTAAACAACGTTTTAAACGGCCACATGTCTCCGTGTCATGCGTCTCTTCGGATTCAGACCCACACAAGCTGAGCTGGTATAACAAGAAACCGCTTAAAAGCTAGGACTTCAGATGACTTTCCATGAAGTCAGATGTGTCAACTCAAAACAATTTATATTTCCACACTGCCTGATGGTGATGCTTTGTCACTAGAGCATGCTCTGTTCCGGTTACATGCTGAGATGCACAGATGACAGCAAACAATGCTTCTCAGGGAGTACACACCAAGGTCACAGCATGTAATGAAGCATAATGAATGTTGTGTGTTTCTGTTGTACACATACTGCAAGTCCTGACTGGCCAGGTATCCACTGGGTCCAGTTAGACGGTACAACAGGCACAGTGAGTCCAATGAAGGAGGCACACGGGTATAAACGTCATTATGGGCATTCCCTCAGGACACTTGTTTGCACCATGTTCGTCCTTCAAACTGGGAATGAAGCCGACTGATAAATCAATTATCAGATAATCATGTGTCTTTAGATTATTGTAGTAGTGCATATGGACTATCAAATATGATTTGGGTACAATATGCTGGTACAAGAGAATGGAAAGAAATGGACAATAAGGGAGTATTTGTCTTTTTTTACCTTATTTATACTTATATAAGGAACAATTACATTGTTACCAGTTCAAAATGGAAGGGGCAACTGGGCCAAAAATGTGTATGTTGTTAGTTAAAAAGGAAGAGAGAAGTGGGCAAAATTGGGTACATTATAACGTTTTTAGGCCAAATACCCCTCACCTGTAATTATTTATGGGGGGGTTACGAACATGACCCCTAGAGGTCACTGACTCCCTGTTGAGGACCCATGATTCTCAACAAGGAGTCAGTAACTGCTTGCGTTTACTGATAATGAATACTGTTGTTTATTTTCAAATGATAAATTCTACTGTGTAAATCCCTAAAAACAACTACCTTGTGCAGTGCCAGCGTGGTAGGGGACACGATATCCGAGGGGTCCCCTCTGCCCCGGGGGGGTAGGTCTCTGCTTCCAGTCAACATGTGCAGGTTGTTTTTGTTGTTAGACTCGAAGTGCATTGCTTCCCTTTTAATGGGACTGATTTCAGAGCGAAACATTGAGTCGTCGTTGGTCTTGGTTTCCTCCAGGTACAGACTGAGAGCGCTACCTGTCATGGATGCCTGAAAGAGCACAAAATCAAAGAGCATCATGTAATAAAAGGGACAGAAAAAAAAGACATCCATATGGACAGCACAACATAATCTCATGAAGTATCCACAGAGCCCGATTAGAGGCCAGGGCACTGCACAAAGCCTTCCTGGGTTAGAGAGGCAGCAGGTGCCCGGCCTGTGTGGTCAGATTTAATAACAGATTACACACTCCAGCGATTATCATAATGCTTCATCTGGCATGCTCTTTTAGGGTGACACTGGGCTATGAGTACATGAGTGGGACAAAGCAGATGGAGGAGGAAGCAGGAGGGGGGGGGGGGGGGGGGTGGAGATGACAGGTGGGCCTACCTCCAGCTCCCTGAGTATCTCCGACTGTCCGCAGGTCTCCAGGTCCTGCAGAGCCTGGGACCAGAAGCTGTCATCCTGGTTCAGGGTGCCATGGCAACGAGGGGGGCTGACGAATCTATGACAACGCAGGAACCAGAACATGAGAGCAGCCCAGCGGGTCTCGAGGCCGGTGTGCCGCAGACAAGAGGCAGCATGGGAAATGCAGTTTTTTGGGCTGCACGCTGGAGAATCCCTTTGAAAACCTCTCAGGACCACATTGAGGGTTTTTACTGTTAATTCTCACACGTTTGGAGTCCACTAGATAAGATAAAGCCTTTATAAAAGAGTTCAATTCAACAAAAAGTAACATCGCCCCCCCCCCAAAAAAAGCAGAAAATGTAAAGCATGTGACACAAAAGTTCAGAAAAAAAAAAGGCGGAGTGTGAAGAGACAGATAAGGCTGATGCATCCTTGGAGCGCTTTTTTGTGGAAACGTTTTTGTTGTAGACAAGGGGTGACAGAAAAAGATGCATCTATGTGAAACACCAAAGACTCGTGGGCAGTTAGTAAAGCAGATGAGAGAGAGAATACCTAAGAAAGAAGAGAAAAGACAGTTTTGGAAAAGCACAAAACATGAAAGCATACAACACAAAATGAAGAGAAAATAATTCACACAGTGCAGTTTGTTTTTGTCAATGATCCACAGAAGCACTATACACAGAGTGATGGAAACAAAGTATAAGTATAGTATTTACTTTTCTATAATCTTTGCTTTTTTGAGAAGTATTCAATAAATCTATCTCTTTAAGCCTCAAATTGTTATTCAAAAGTTAATTTCAGAAGTCTTGATATGAAATAACTCATTAATAACGTATTGAATCCTGAAACATGATAAGGGGAACTGACTGTAAACCACTGGCTTATTCTATAATAATGTGTTAAACAATATGCAAGTAATAATGCACGTTTTATGTAAATGCTTGATCTGTAGAGTAACCATGTATGTCCCGTGTGTGTGTGTGTGTGTGAAGTAAAAAATACAACATTCAGGTATAGCAAAACATGTTCAAGTACCTAAAACAACACAAGTCCAGTTCCAATGCTTATACACAGAATATGATTTGAATAAAAGACCGCCTTTATTGTGAAACAAAACACGAGAAGCTGCACTGACATGTAACAAGATGTTGACAGGATGTAAACTGCAGACTTGAGCCCTTACCCAGGTCTATTATCCCACTCGTCCTCAGTGAACCTCCCATCGTACAGCGCTGAGTGGTGGACCAGGCCTGCAGAGCTGGAGCCGATTTGGCTCCTGAGCTTCGTGCGTCGCCAGTCATTTGGATTGAGCAATAGATCTGAGGCTTTGTGGAGATATGTCCCTGAACAATACACACAAGAAAATAGAATGACCTTATTGGATGCAAGACATAAGAGAGGTACATTAGAGCTAACTAAGCATCCAGTGGACCTTACCTTGGCTACCGTAGCCTGCATCGAACCCTGAGCTATCCCAGGAGCTCATGGCAGAGTCTAAACTGGGCAGAGTGGCAGAGTAGACCTCCGAGTGTTTGCTGGTTTTCTGGGAGTCTGTCAGCTCATCCTCTGTGTCGCTTAAAAACCCAGTTTCTCTGTCCAGAGGCCGCCGGCCATCAGACTCTGGGAATGAACAGAGATTCAAATAATCATCAAACAAGGAGGAAGTGCACCTTTTATCAGTTTTAATTAATCATTTCTGTAGCATTTAAAGGTGGGGTAGGTAAGTTTGAGAAACCGGTTCGAGATCGCTAGAATTTGAAAATCTACCACTTCCTTATATAGCCCCGCCTCCAACACACACGAACGCGCACATGACCAATGAGGGCATGAGATAAGTTTGTGCCCCGATGGAAGGCTGACAGGCAGGTAGGCCATCCAGTTATTTTAGCCGGGCCGGCTGGTCGTACTTTTTACAGTACTACGGCTTCCACAAATTACATTTTATGGATTTTTTGTCAAAGCACTTAAGATATTCATTGCTATCGGGATGTTAAGAGCATTCCATGGAATATAACAAAAAGTGTATCTCGAGCCGGTTTCTCAAACTTACCTACCCCACCTTTAAGCCTCAAAGAAAGCTAAATAAATGCATTTTATTAAAGGATATCAAAACCCAGCAATTGTCTTTATTTTTTCCCCAACTTCTTTTTGTTTTTTACACTTTGTGTCTTTCTTTGTATACGTTTAGTGTTCTTCCTCTTTCTTCCCATTTCTCCTTTTGCTTTCCTGTTAACGATTGTTTAACATTTAGAAAATGTACCAAAGAAGTTGAATGGGAGTGGATAACATACAGCCACCAGGGATTTTCCTTCAGCAGGAGAATGGCAAGCAACATTTACTTTTAACGTAACTTTCTTTTTAGTTAAAAAAAACAGTTTTTTCTTTCTGTTTTGTTTCAATTGTGCAACTACATTTGCAAGATCATGTTTTCAAACCACTGAGTAGTAAAAAAGGAAACATTTGAGACCAAAACAACATACTGTCAGCTTGTTTTTTTATCTTGAGGGTGACAGACTCCCCGGCCATCTGCAGGAGGTGGATGGCCTCGCTCAGCGGCTTCCCCTTCAGACTGACCCCGTTGATGGCCAGCACTCGGTCTCCTATATGGATTGCTCCGGTCCTGCAGAGGAGACAGAGATACGAGACAGTACAACACACGGGCCGGGAAACTGTCAGGCTGCCAGCGCGCTGACTGAGACGGAAACAAAGAGGCTTCTTGTTTTAGAAAAAGACGAGACTGACATTGTTTATTGTCTTGTTTACTCTAAAAAGGGGACCTCCTCAGATTTGACTAGCCTCAACCTAAAGCATGCGTCACCATCCTATCAAATCTCTCTTTACCCCCGACCTGTCCTCCTGCCTATCTCTCACCTCTCTGCCAGGCCTTTCTTGGTGAGGCCTGAAATGACGATGGGGTCAAAGGGCTCCTCTGTCCCAGAGATCGTGATGCCTAGCGGTCCGTTATATCTCTTCAACTCCACTGTGTAGATTATAGAGCCCGACATCTCCAACTCATCTACAGCAAATAGGGAAAACAAAAATGTACCACACATAAAACTCAAGATTATACAGACATGAAATACTCTAAGATACAATATATTTTTGAAAAGTCTGTGCAAATGGATAAATAACCTTTAGAATTGTGATAGATAACGTATTCAATCCTTAAGTTAAAGAGTACAATTGCCAATAGAACAATTTTAAAATGACTTTATCTCGTAAACTACTTAATTTCATTAATTCCAGGTTTATGAATATTAGTTGGTTTTCTTAATTCTCTTTTATAATGCACTTCATATATTCGGACTTTGGACTTTTTAATGACAAAACAATTGAATATGTAAACTTGGGCTCTGGGAACCTGGGATAGATATCCGTTACACTTTCCTTAGATAGTAGGTTACCAATCTAGGGGTGAGGCCCCCTCCAAAGGGTCACTAGATTAGTCTGAGGGGTTGTAAGATGATTAATGGGGTTCGGGAAGTTCAAAGTTCAAAAGGGTTAGCTACACAAAACACACACACAAAAAAGAAAAGAAAAAGATTCCTCACAGTTATTCAAATGAAACAAATGGAGAAGTTAAAAGGGGAAGTCTATCTTGGTTCAACAGCTAAGAGCCTAAAGTCATTCAAATGAGACAAAAAGCCAACAAATATTATTTTATCTTGTCATTTTATATAAAATATTAATCTGAAGGGTAACTAGTAACATTTTAGGATAAATGTAGTGATGACAAGTGAGACAATTATTTCCTATAAATGTTGTGGTCTTATAAAGATGCATCAAATGTAAATACTTAATATTTAAATTGTACTTGAGTACAAACGTTTTTGTGTTTGGTTACTTTGCAAAGAATGCATATTTTGTGTTTCAAGCGATAAATGTACCAATGTTGTCCTCGTCTTTCTGGATCCGGAGTTTGACCATGTCCTCGGCCTGCTGCAGGACGTGCATGGCGTCCTCCATGGAGCAGTTCTCCAGACGCACGCTGTCGATGGCCAGCAGCCGGTCTCCAGGCTCCAGAGTGCCTGTTCTACCGGACACAGGAGCGAAAAAGATCACAGCTATTAACTAAGACCATGGAGCTGCTCCTCCTGAGTCCTATTGTGTCTCAGTGGGATCCTTCGGGGGTCACCCGGGTCACCCTGAGCCACACTGAGCCCTTCTGAAATGGAGCTGCTCTGTCCTACTGATCCAGTTTTAAAAGCTCAAACCAATTAGGTTTGTATTACACAGTGGATTCACAAAACAATGTTATTTTTTTTAATGGAGTAATCCCACACAAGGCAGGAAAACATAGTTTACCCTGAACTGTAAAGTGTTGAGAAACAGTGTCACCCTAATGTCCTATAGCCAATGACCATTTCTGTACTCATAAAAACTAAATGATATACTATAGCCCTGTGAGAGGAATAACATGTTAAAATGAACAAGCATTTATAGACTTCAGCTCAACATGTATGGCAATGTTCTCAAAAAAGATTAACAGACCACTCTACTGAATGGATAAGACGGATTTGTAATTAACATTTGATCTAGTGAATGAAATTGAGCAATTCGTTTTTTCTCCAAATATGTATTATTTTGCATCTAATGCAATTAAGAACACATTTTGTACAGATGACCATTTACGAAAACAGGAGGCGCACGCTTGTGTTTTGTGTCGATGCAGCAATTTTATGTTGTGTTATATAATCTCAATAGGATTTATTTTACTGTGTAAATGAACATACTATGGAAAGGAGTTCAGCAGTCATATTATTATGGCTCTGTGATGATAGGACATACCTGTGTGCTATGCTTCCTTTTCTGATGTCGGAGATGATGAGGGGCTTTCCAGGTTTTTTACTTGCTGGTGAAAAAGAAGAATAATTGAAGTGTTTTTATTATAAAGTTGTATGATTAACCACTTGGAATAACTCAACTTCATTTTCTCTTTGTTGCACTAATCATACTCGGCCTCCTGTTTATTCAGGGCACATTGAGTGAAGATGAATGATGGTACAGTCTGGTATTGTTCAGAGTTAATGAGGTATGAGCCCTCATGGTCTTTCAAGCCTGAGTTTTATGGATCACAGAACACTGATTCAAAGGCATGCAGCTCTGTGAGGTATTTTTAAGCGACACTGCCCTCTGCTGTTCATCTAGATCAGGGGTGTCCAAACTTTTTCCACCGAGGGCCACATACAGAAAGATATACGAAGGGCTGGGCCACTCCCTAGAGGTATATTGCCTCATAAGTTCAGTTATAAGTTAGCAAAAACAATCAAATGTAGGTAAATTATGCTTGTGAGTGTTGGCAGCTCATCCCTTAAAACAGAAGCCTCAGATTGATTATAATAAGGAGAAATATGAAGGGTGTTTCAAGCTTGTTATGTAAATAAGTAATTGGGCTTTTTTCTTATCAACTACGATATGTTAGAAAAAATGTCCAACTTTAATTGACTGAATTTATTTGAAAAGTGGTCTCATTAAAACATGAATACTACTGTGTAATATATTTGTACATTTATATTTAAGAAGTACAATATAAGAGATATTCCATTATACTTTTTGAATTTGCTGAGGGCCAATTCAAAATGGTCCGCGGGCCGCATTTGGACCCTGGGCCGTAGTTTGGACACCCATGGTCTAGATCAGGGATGGGCAACTTTGATGGTGGTGGGGGCCACATAATTGATGTACTGGCCACCAGGGGGCCGCATATTCACTTGGAACACACACACACACACAAATTCCATGTATTGTATGTAATTATTAACAAATATACTAAGTCTGACATCTTCATTGACATTTTACAATCTTTCAGGGAACATCCTCTAATAAGCTCACTAAACAAATATCAGTTCACAGACATTTAATTTAATTTTTACAAGTGGCATGTTTGTATTGAACAGGTTATTTAACAGTGGAATAAAACTATTTTAAACTATTGGAAAGCACGGAAAATGTGCTTGTCATGAACACTAACCCAGACATTAGTTGTCTAACTTGAACCTAAGACACTTGACCGCCGCCATTTGCCCATCCCTGGTCTAGATCCTAACAAACTCACCACTGATGGTGATGCCCAGCTCCACTCCTCTCCTCTTGGGTAGTTTAACGTGGAAGGTGCCGCTGCTGGGAACCACTGACTCTAAGTTGGTTTTAAAGGGAAGATAAATGTGAAGATAAATGTAAGTATGAAGGCACAAATTGAGTCAGAGATCTCACATTATAAGAATATATCTTCACAATATGATACCTGCGACATCAAACTCAATCTCCACTGTGACCTTATTGGCCAGAGCAGAGTCTCTGAGCAGCTGATGGGCTTCCTCCAAAGTGCCATCTTCAGTCGGGATCCCGTTAATGGACAGCAGCCGGTCCCCAACCTGCAGCAGCCCGCACCTCCACACAGAAACAAAACATAGAAAGGATTAATGTGGAAATAAAGCTCTGGTGAAAGACTGTTTTGACCACGACTGTTCATATAGGAATACAGATATGTATAAATGTTAGGAATAAATGTGATTAGGTGCAAATGGATGATAAAAAAAGACCTTGTTATTAAATAAAAGGATCACATTTCAACTAGGGCTGCAACTTATGATTATTACAATTACTGATTAATACTGTCAATTTCTCTCCAATCAGAAAAGTGATAAATTACTATCGACACTATATAAATTATAACTATCAATTCACAAAATCCAGTGTAGCCAGTTAAGTAGTTAAACATGGCTTAAGCTAATGCAGTCCAATACATACTTTATAAAATAAATAAATCTGACTTTTTATTTTTTGTTGAAATTGTTTATGGTGTTAATTGATAGAGTTCAACAGCACCTATTCAACCGATGACATTATACAGAAATGTGTTCAACCCTGATATAAATGTGACAGACATAAATAAATAGATGGCATAAAGAAAGTTTAGTTTCATAAAGCTGGCATCACACACAAATAAAACTAAAGTTTTTCTTAATAAAAAAACATTTAATAAAACAAAATTGTAAAGTTTCTCAGACGGATGAATGGCTGAAATGAGTGCTTCCCAGCTTCTTGTTTTGTCCAACAAACAATTCAGAATGAAAATGTTGTTACATAAATTACGGTAATTTGTTGCTTCATCAGTGGCGAGCCGTCAGGGCTCTCTAGGCCCTCTGTGAGGGCCTAAGATATTCCAAAAAAAAATATTTAAAAACATTAAAAAAAAAAAAAAATTTTTTAAATATATATTTTTTTAATATTATTTTTGTTATATTTTTCATTAGTTTTACCGAAAAAAAAAAACTTGATTTAATAAAATAACATTTTCAAATAAATAAATCCTTCGAATCTGCCTGTTCAGTCTCTGTTTGAATGTGGGTTACATGAAAGAAGCTCACCTGGCCCTCTCTGCGATTCACAGAGGGCCCGCTATAGTAACTGAACGAGAGAGTAATGTCAAATGACAGTACAATTGACCAGTCATATCTTCCCTCTAAATGGGTGGGTTTTATTATCGCGGACTAGATGACAAGTTCCGCCCGCTGTGAAACTTTTCTTGTTTCCATAGCAACAACAACTTCCTGTCAACAGCGTGAACTCGCCTTCAAAATAAAAGCATGCCAAATTACACTTAAGACATACAACTGCAACGAAAGTAACAAACACAATGCAATATCATTTTCAATGTCAAAGAACACAAATTGGGTTCACAGGTGTTGTTTTGTGTGGTAGAGGGTCGCTGTCATTGATGCGTTTTGCACCCTGGGCCGTTGTTTTGATATTCCGCTGAAGTATACGCTGTGACGTAATAACTCTTTTTTTTTTTTTTCGAGGGAAGGGGTGGGGGTCAGAGGGCCTAGGTATAAAGCTCACGGCTCGCCACTGCGCTTCATAGATGACCAGGATGCTTACATTTCAAGCGTTTAATCTACTAATCGTAACAACACTCGTTTCAAACCAGGCTTTACATTTCCTGCTTTCAAGGGAAGAAAATCCTGAGCGTTACAGCCTGTGTGACATGAGGTGTGAATGTTTAAAAATGCCATCATTAAATTGGTATGGCCTCAAGGCTTGACATAAACACAGACCTTACTTGAACTTGTAAAACCCCATCGAAGCGAGCTCATGCAGAAAAAAAAAAAATCTCACATTATCACACATTTACATCAGACCCTTAATTGCAAGGACAAACACTGAAGCACTGTCAACTGATATTAATTCACTAAGCCCCGCTGCTTGTTAACCTTGTGGAGGCAGAGACTCCGACATCACGGTCGGATGCTGCACTTGAGTCACTCCTGTCTAACTGCTGCTGGACTAATCGTGTTACAAGACCCAGGGGACACTGCACTACACAGCATCATTATGTTGCAGGACAAGGACAGATACAACACATCGGCCTGATCGGGGCAGGGTGCTAATTGCTACAACATGCAATCTCAATCAATACAAGACTACATACCAATACGGGGGGATTATCACCACTAAACAATGCCTCTTGTATAATGTGATCTACTACGGGGGACCCCTGCTCCTGGGAGTTTGTCAGACACACAATAGGTCAATATTACTGGCTATTATAATTTGCTGAGGACATCTGTTGACTGCAACTTTTGGATAAAAGGAAAATAAACCATTAACATGCTGAGTGTTGACAAGCACCAATGTTTCCTGGCCCTTAAAACAAAGTAATATATACTGAAGACCTGTTGTTATCGGTAGTATCCTATATAATAATATAATTGTCTGCCAGTGGTGCACAGTTCACCCAAAGGCCAGTTTTTTTTCCATACATACAATCATTTTAAAGACTGGAAAAACAAGCATATTTGCTACAAAGGTCACCAACTCTAGTGGAAATGTCAACACTGCCATTATATTTCAAACTCTGGAGTTATTAAACATAATTAAATAGACTTCCGACTTCAGGTAGGTCTGCTTTCGTACTGAAATGTCTTAATTGACTCATCTCCTTTCACTGTTTCTTTGTTACTAGGCCAGATCTGTTGATCTTCTGCATGACTACGCACTCGCTTCTTATTTCAAAAACACATTCTCTTGATGCCATACAGTACTATTTAAATTATTAAACAAACAAGCAAATATTTGTTATTGTAATATTGTAATCTTCCTTGGTGTTTTGAACTAAAGAAATAATATCCTTTTCTTTCTTTAAGAAATAAAAAGAAAATGGACAAATTAAAAGTTTCCAACATAAGTTATCGTGAGGGAAACATAGCTGTAAGAACCAAAGATCCGGACACTTCCTGAAGCTAGGGTAAAGGTCAGAGGATCCCTTAAGTCAGTAGGATGCATCCCTCTGGGTCAAATTAGTTTCTCTCAAAATTAAATGACAATGAAATAACTATTGAGAAATCTCAGTCTAAACCAAAGTAGTGGTTAAATCAACTGACAGATCTTAATTGCCTCTATAAAGCCACACTGATAGTGTTGCCCAGTAAAGAGTAAATTAAATTCTGATGAAAATGAGCATAACTTTTCATAGCAGATAATATCCACACATGTTTTCAACAAATGTTTTGATGCATCTGTTGGACAGGACCCAACATTTGAGAACCACAGCATTAGACAAAATCAGATATTAATGCTCCTGCCTTCAGCTACGATACTCATTGCGACACAAGGTTAAAATTAGTCGTTTTTTCTCCCATGGGGCTGAATGATTAGCAGTGGAGCCATCTAGATCCATCATGTGACTCTCTATATATATGATACTTGTTTACTCGTTAGGTGTCTCTGTGCGTTACCTCTCAGCTGGGCTGTCGGGCTCAATAAAGCGGATGACTGGGGGAGCAGACAGCGTTTCTGTGGCGAAGACACCTCCTTGCAGCTGGACCCCAAAACCTGTGAGCGGATCCCCCCTCAGGATGACCTCGCTCGTTTCCACATGAAAGATCTGCCCCCCCGGCCCAACAGAACTGGAAGCCAGAGATACTGAGGAACAGCGGGGGAGGGAGGGGCCACATCAGAGAGAGATATTAGTGGAGAAGTGGCAGATAAATAGAGCAAGAGAGTGATTGTGGGAGACAAAAACTGTGGAGTATAAAGAGAGGAGACATGCGACCACAGAGATGACGTGGGAATGGGGAGGGAATGAGTCACTGTCAGAGTTTACGTCAATCATGTTTACGTCACAAGATCAGTCAAATCTGTTCACACACACTGAGGGGGCAAAACAGAGGAAAGGTGTTTTAACTGCACTGAAAAACATGTTTAAAAGGGTGGTACCTAAATAAGGAATACAGAAAAAATTATTCTCATCTTACCCTCTTGATAAATGATAGTTTAAACAATAGTGGTATACATTTGTTGTATTGTTTGTCTGTCATATACTGTAGGGTTGATATGTTGTACCAGAATTTTTTTAATTCATTACAATACTAACGATTATTATTTTTTAAATGGTGGAAAAAAAATTGAAATATGAGATTTTTTTTAAATGAACCCTTCCTAATGATAATTTAAAAATAAAACAGATGTCTGAAAAGTAATGTTCAATCCTGAAGAACATCACAAACAAATCTTTCTCACCTTATTTGTAATAATTTGCAGGTAGAAATCAAATCAACATACACTCAGTTTATTATTAGGAACATCTAGATAAAAGTAATGCAGTCCCTTACACACTCATGTTATAAATACACTGAGGTGTTTCTGTTCTTCAGACTAACTTCATTAAAATAAATGGGGTGGACAGAATAATAGATCTGGTTAATGTGGTTTAACTGACCCATTAAGGTGGTTATAAAAAAATAAATAAAAGGAAACAAGGGTGGGCATGCGGCTTATCATACGTGAGCTTTTGTGGTCCTTCTTCCTGTTCCTCCTCCGGCCCGTGGAGTTTCGGGGGCTGCTGGGGGGGATGGGGCAGGGCAGCGTGTTGCTCCCCTGGCTGCTGAAGCCTGAGGTGGCTGTGGAGGAAGGAGAGAAGCCACCGCTCACCACCGCTGAAAGGAGACATAGCACTACACGTATCAAAAGGGCTGATTAAACCAAATCACCATGGCAATTGTATTCATGTCCACAGCAGCAGCAAACGCTTGTGGGAACATACAACAAAGGAGATGACTCTAGTAACAGTGTTCGAGTAAAGCTCTTGGAAAAGATTTAACAAATGCTCTGAAGAAAAAAAGTCTCCTGCTATGGTGTCTTGCCAGCAGCAGTGCTGTCACAAGTGATAACTTACATTTGCAGTGGTCCTGCTGGTTGTGTGGGTGGCTTGGGCTGCTCCATGTCTTCCCGTGGCTGGCATGTGGGGGATGGCAGTAGTTGCTGCTTTGGTCCCAGTGATGATTGTTGCTCTTCTGCACTTTTACTGCGGCAAAACAGAGGCAAACACATCCATTAAGTAAACCAGATCCACTCCTCTTCTGTACACTTTTCTAAATCCTAACCATGAAATCACGCTTTTCATTCCCATGTCTAAATATGTACCACATCACACAGAGCCTGGGGGAGGTAATTCAGAGCAGAGTAATTGATATTTAATGTTCTCGTCATGGAACACTAGATTATATCCTGCGGTTTAATGTATTTTGATGAGCATCTGAGTGTCAGCTAGACACACAGAGCTGAATGAGAAATGGTGGATTCAAAAAAAGCACATCTTACTTTTACTAGAAAGCTTCCAAAAAGCTAAGTGCAGACTAGAGATCATTTTCAGGATTGAATTCAAAAGAGCCTGAATGTTTAAAAAGATGTTGAGTAAGTTGACCACGGTGCTGTGATCACCAGGAAGTGGTACTGGCTGTTTGGAGGCATGTGTCTCAACCTTGATTGGACACAGCTGAAAGCTTGATTGCTGATGATGTGTCTGTTCTGCACCTGATTGACAGACAGCTACACTCATTTTCATTTAATTCATTTAATTCTGTTTCTTCTTCTTCTTCTTCTTCTCTTCGTTTTTGGCAGATTGCAAACAACTTAAAAGGTGCATACCGTCACCTACTGTACATGAGTATGAATCATCATATCATACCAACTCTTTAACCTATGATCTAATCAAAATAAATCAAAATAAATAAATAACTCAACAAAAAACATGAAATAAATAAAACAAAAATAAAAATCTATATTCTTTCCTGACCTAATGTTAAATTATTTTTCCTACCCCAGTTTCACTCAAGAATGTAAACAGTGCCTTTCTGGTAGCTCTTACTCCCTCTCCTTTTGTTCCCAAAACACCAACCACACTCCATTCCCTCTCTGCCTCTAAAACTTTAGCCTTTAGTTTTTCTCTTTCCGCTTTATAGATGTCACAATGTAACAAGATATGTTCTACATCTTCTTTCACTCCACAGTTCCCACACTTGTCACTGTCACTTTTCCCCATGATATACAGCGTACCATTCAAAGCCGTGTGATTTATTAATTCTGTTTCATTCATATGTGTTTCTTTTAAGTAGCAACTGTGTTGACTTCTTCTGCTTTGAATAAAATGGAGAGCGCAGATTGTAAATTCTGAAAGGCGTCTTATCCCTCATGTCAAAGCTTGTATAACAGTCAAACTGTATGGAAAGCATTCAAATGGGAAACAAATAACCTCTTGTATGACACATCACCTCAATAATTAACTTTCCTTACAGATTCATGCAGCTAAAATCGTCACAGAGCTTTACATGTGACAGTAATCTGTGCTGCTTCATTTGCAGGGGTCTAATCTCCAACAACTTGCTCACATGGATGGAGGATTTGCTTGAAACATGGATGACTGCAGTAGTGCCTGGGACGCTTGCCATGTTCAGGGAACCTGGTTAAACCCGACTGCATGTAATCAGAATACAAGAAGGAGAACCAGTTTCTATCGGACTCCATCAAACCTGTGAAGCTTTGGCTCTGACGGCTTATGTTAAGCTCACCTAGGGGGAGCTCTCAAAAAAATGGTGTTTTCGATCAGCGCTGGTGGAAAGAAGCATTAACACCTAATCTCTCGGTGGCCATATCAGTCTTATTAAATCCCCAGAGGAGATTAGACAAATTGCATCTTATAATCATGCCTTACCCTGGGGGTGGGGGGAAGAAGCCGTGAAAATATCGTTTTATCATAACGTCATGGCATCTTATTCAAGAAATGAGGCATTATCTAATATAAATTTCAGAAGACAAGATGCATGCCTTGCATTTCAGTGAGATTTTATGCACTACACTTTGAATTAAGAGATATTAATAGTAAACAGGAGCAAACGCAAGTGTTTACACTGAGCAGTCTTGAAAATTACTAATAGTGAACTGAATAAAGGACAAAAAAAAATATGGAAGAGAGGGTTCGGTGACCTCCAGAGGAGATTAAACTACATCTTGCTTCTTTGTCATGGTGTGTGATTCCTCCCATGCTCACATGTTAAGGAGCCCTGCAGCTGCTGACCCAGAAATAAGTCTTCAGAACATGATCTCTGACAGAGAACGTGTGTGTGTGTGTGTGTGTGTGTGTGTGTGTGTGTGTGTGTGCGCACATGTGTGTTTGAGTATTTAAAGGCCTGTTGGTACCAACAGAGGGTGTACCCAAAGGCAAAGGGACTGTGGCCAGCAACACACACACACACACACACACACACACACACACACACACACACACACACACACACACACACACACACACACACACACACACACACACACACACACACACACACACACACACACACACACACACACACACACACACACACACACACACACACACACACACACACACAGTACATGTGAGGAGGCAGCTGGGAGGCAGCTAGGCTCTCACAGCTGTAGGTAGAATAGCTGAGAGCAGAGCCGTCACATATGGTGTGGACGACACACTGAAGCCAGCCTGTGTACTGTATGTTCTCCACAATGTACACACACTGAACTACATCACAGGCTCTAGAGCTGAAACAATGAGTCATTCCATCCACTGTGAAGCCTTACCATTGCATTGCCCTGCTCATTTGCTTGCTTTTGTGTCACCTCCAGGACATACCTGTGTCTTGCGGTCTGACAGGAAGTCTGCTCTGACTGGCGGGGAGGATCTCCAGTTTAACGACATCAGTGGTGCTGGCGAGCAGCTGCGTGGCCTCCATCAGAGAGCAGTGCTCCGTGCCGGTCCCGTCTATAGACAGAAGGATGTCACCTGCGTGCAGCGCTCCACACCTGAGAGAGAGACAGCAGGGCAGAGTGGGTCAGGGAAGCTCTTGTTTATTGGGAAGTGTCTGTGTAGCAGTGTACTGGGAGAGGTTGGTTTCACCTTTCCACCACGCTGCCTGCCTTTATCTTGTCTATAATAATAACTTGTTTGCTCCTGTATATTGTTGTAGTGAGGCCGATCCCAAGGCTGGTGGAGGGACCTTTCACTATCTCCACCAGCAGAGGGCCCGAGGCTCGCTGCACTGCCTCTGAAACAGATAACACACACAGATATGAGAGAGGCCAAACAGATATTTATACATAATATATATGCAGTGGTGGAATGTAACAAAGTACTTTTGCTCAAATAATTTAATTAAGTACATTTGTTCATACTTGTGAGTTACTTGAGTATTCCCAAATATTGTGTTATACTTCAACCCCATTCAATCTCAGGGGAGAAATATTTTGTTAATATAATACTTATCTACAGACGTATACAATATATCTTGAATTGCTCCGCATTGACAAATCATCACCATTAAAATTCCCTTACGTGTATATATTTAGTGATAAAAATATAATAAGATTATATTGTATAATATTGTAACACTTTTAAAAGAGCCATTCATAATGAGTAGTGTTATGTTTGCTAGTTTAAGTATTTATTTTCTGAAAAAGGGATTCACACATTTTCAAACATTAGTGTTTAAAATAAATAAAATATTTGTATTCATCAGGCATTTATCTTTTCATAACGCTTCTGAATGCCAATATGTTTGAAAGTGAGAGAAAACATTTTATTTCTCAAAGATTCCTAGTGTGCATGAATGTTGTATTAAGACATTTGCTTTTACTGTACTTTCATTTGAATATGTTTTCTTTTACATTATTGATATATACATTGTCTTAACGGTATAGATGGGGTTTACAAGAGGGGTGACCATAGACAGTGATAAAGCTTTGAACAATCTCTAACTGGTGTTTGAATAACATGAGTTACTGGATTATTGTAAGTAAGTCTCATGAGAATTACAAACATGTTGTTGGCCTCTGTGCTCCAAGACAGTCATTTCACTGCCTTGACTTATTAAAGGTAGGCTAGGTAAGTTTGAGAAACCGGCTCGAGATACACTTTTTGTTATATTCCATGGAATGCTCTTAACATCCCGATAGCAATGAATATCTTAAGTGCTTTGACAAAAAATCCATACAAAAATGTCATCTGTGGAAGCCGTAGTACTGTAAAAAGCACGACCAATCATTTTAGCCGGCCCGGCTAAAATAACTGGATGGCCTACCTGCCTGTCAGCCTTCCATCTGTGCACAAACTTATCTCGTGCCCTCATTGGTCATGTGCGCGTTCGTGTGTGTTGGAGGAGGGGCTCTGTAAGGAAGTGGGAGATTTTCTCCGGTTGTGTATTTTCAAATTCTAGCGATCTCGAGTTCGGTTTCTCAAACTTACCTACCCTACCTTTAATTAAGTGTTGTGCTTCAGTATAAAATGCTAGAATAATTGCACTCAATGATTTGCAAATTCCAACATTGTTACAAGGAACCATTTTAATCAATTGAGATAAACTGTAACCAGCTTAACCTGAAAAAATCCACATTTTCCAGATCTCACTTCTAAAAGTATTTATGAACCTTTTACTGGTTCAGTCTGGAGGCAGGAAGTCTGGATCCTAAACTCCCAAAAATGGGGAGATAATGTGTGTCGAATGTCCTTGGTGACCTGCCCTACTTTGCATAGAGAAGAGTTTGTGATCTTATGGAGAATTAGTCACTGTGACCAAACGGAGGGTATAATCTGTAGTGAGTCTTCAGTGGTTTATTTTTACAAAATGTTGACCCAATGGTGAGGATACTTCTTAACTCAAAATAGAGTATAAAGACGCAATCAGACTGATCTGTGTTGGTGGGCATTCCTTTAGACAACATTTGATTCTAATGAGTTGAAATGAGTGGAACAAAGAACTACTAGTATTGTAAAATGTGCCTCTAAATAACACAATATGTACCGGTTACTCTACTGGCAATATCCAAATTCACCTAATTTACTTTAAAATATTTAAATGTAGGAGTGACGAGAGGACATACAGTACACTATTATAAAACAATGACGATTATCCATCTCCCCTTTTCTGTTAAGTGTGCTCTTGGGCCAGTGTGACTCCCCTGGTGGCGTCTCCAGCACCGACACTTTCCTCTACGCAGCCAAACGGCCACATTATTTACCCTCAGAGCAACGCTGCCCTACCATGCCCCCCACATATTCCCTGTGTGTGTGTGCTCACCCATGACAGAGATGTCATACTCAATCAGGAACAGAGCTTCCTGGCCGCTCTGCATCAGCATGGTCAAAGAGTCAGCGTGCTTTTCCCTGTTTAAAGGCATCCCGTCTACGCTCACTACTCGGTCTCCTGCCTTCAAAGTGCCCTCTCTGGAGAAGAAAGAAAGAAAAAAATAATTAATAACACACGGGCGACTAGAACAAGGTGCTCAAAGAAGCGTTCAAGCACCAGTCACAGTAAATCATTAAACAGTTCCACATGAGTGTTCCCTCCCAGGTGAGATGAAGGATAAACGAGATAAACGGACGTCAGGTCTTTGATGTTGAATTATGTTTGCTCCAGTGTTTTGGTTTACTCTTGGTTTGTATAAGGATAAGTGCGATGCTGCACCAGCCTCAGGATGAGCTGTGCCCTTTCTGCTTTGAAGATACTCTATATGTGTCACCGCCACAATTTCATGCACCGGCCTCAGCGTAGACTGATGCATGTGCATATAAACATATTGAGGATTTAAACGCGTAATTCCTAACAATACAATTCCATATGGGTATGAGGTAAATATGTTTTATGGTGGACAAAGAAAATGCAATTAGTAAAACACATATCCATGAGTCTATACATCTAAATCCGTATGGAAACACGCATGCATGCACACATACAATCATTTGAATAGACTCAGTCATGCATGGTCAACAGAAATAAAATGCATAGAAGCCACAGAAAAAGTGTATACACACAAACACTAGCTTATATATGTCTGTCTTTACCTGTCAGCGGGACCTCCAGGCCTGACGTATGTAACCAATAGAGGTCGTGACCTGCGCCAGTCCTCGTGGAAGCCTCCTAAAAAAAACAAAAAAAAAAACAAAATAAGTCATAGCAGTAAGATCATTATTTTATTCAAGGATGTACATACAAGAATCACGTCCACTTACCTCTCATGACAAACCCAAAGCTGTTCCCCTCCTTGTGTAAACACACCTCTATGGTTTTGGTTGAGACGCCTGATGGGTTCTGGACTAAGGAAAGAACAGACCCAAAAAATGATCACCACAATCCTCAAAAGATACGCATAAAATAAATGTAGAAAGCTTTCACAGCAGCTTGATGATAATGATAATGTTGAGTGTTGTAAGTGCTGAATCATGAGAATTAACAAATATGGATTGTGGAAATATGTTTCATTAATCTTAGTGGGGAAATTAATTCTATGTATTTGACCCATGCTAATGATTGAAGAGCAGTGAGCAGCCACGGAGCAGCGCCGGGGGACCAACTCTGTTTCCGAGGCAGTGAAAGCCAATAAGTATTGATCTGATGATTTGCAGGTCGGAAGATGTCTACACGTTGAGGTTAAATCGGGGCTGAATTAGATTTTCAGTTTTTAGACGTCTAGGTTATACCGCTCTGCTTCACAAATATGTAAATGTAACTAAAAGAAACTGTGTTATGTCACCTGAATGTTTTAACCACATTTAGCTCAGTTTTAACCATGCATTAAGAAATGAGAAGCCAGAGTTTTTTATTGTCTATACTACAGCCTTAACTAAAAAGCTTATTTATTCACCCATTTCCTACTCCTACTTTGCATTTGAAAATACAAAGCATTAGTTTTTGTGCATGTAAATGGTCTGCATAGGCTAAAATCCCAAAGTTCCCAGAGTTTCTCTCCCACACATTCCCCCCCCTGCCTGAAACACCTAGACTGGACTCCATGGTTTACTTCCGCAACATAGTGACATCGCTATGTAGCACTTGCGTTTCTATTGGCTAGTGCTCCAACACATTGTAGGTGATGTAAGTGGCGGGACAATCATAAGAGAACCAGCCGGCTAACCAATCAGAGCAGACTGGGCTCTGGTTTCAAACAGAGGGTGAAAATAAGTGCTGCAGCAATGGTAGTATGAGGAACATTAAAGCACCTATTAAACCTTAAAGCATGTAAACATGTCAAAGTAGAGGCACACAATACATTTATGAAAATGCTCCTCATATGGCCCCTTTAAAGCATGTATTAGACTTTCAGGCAGAATGTTACTCCAGCAGAACTTCACCTACCAAATGGAGGCAGCTCGTACTCCACCTCCAGCATGACTCGCTCCCCGATGTTCTTCAGCAGGCTGATGATCTCATCGTGGCGAAGCTTTGACAAGTTGATGCCGTTCACTGACTTGATGTAGTCTCCAACATTCAGCTGGTCACTCCTGTGGATAAGTCATAAACAGACATTCAAAATCAAGGATGGATGACCAACCGAGCTAAGCAGGAAAAATCCCCAGATCTCTAAAAAGCTTGAGATTGACTACTTATCAATTTGAAGTTACCTGATTTATAAATCAAATCAAGTTTTCATTTATAGAGCTAAATATTACAAATTAAAAGTTTGCTTTACAATTTATACAGCATATGGCAATATCTAAACCTTAGAAACTTGCAGAAGAGAATCCCTTCCCAAAAAATAGACTTGATTTATTTAGGGGCCTGTTTTTAACACTTTAAAACTGCAAACTGAGATGTGTGGCTTGTTTGGACAAACCAATAACAAAATGGTGGGTTTCGATTACCATCGACCCTGCAGATTACTTTCATTTTATTTTACAGCTGACAACGATCACTCTCATCTCTCTAAACTCACTGTAATATATATGTTTATTATAGTTAACCCAATAACAAGCGCCCAACAGAACAATTTGAACCGGGAGATCCTCAAACAAGCTGATCCATTGGTGACCAAATGTGTAGAAGAGTCAGATGTAAAATGAGCTGCTTTTTTGTATACATTTGTGTCCAAACAATAATGATAATCTAATAATTTGAGCATTATGCAGACTGACTTACAGAGCCAGCTATGTTGAGCGTCTGGCTGAAAGCGTTTCCTGTTCAAACAGTGACACAGATGATTGTACAAGTCGTCTCACATATGACATTCTGAGTCAACACGCTGCTCATTGGAGGGCTAATTAATTAAATGCATGTTCTGCCTTGCTAGCTCCTCTCACCTTTGGGCTACTGAGGATCACCAATGACAGCAGACAGAGAGAAGGAGAGAGATACAGAGGGACAGAGATGGACAGAGAGAAAGAGAGACAGACAGAGACAGAGACACAGACACAGAAAGAGAGACATCACGACCAGCAGAGCAGACTGACGGCCTGCCATCCGGTCCGCTCTCATCACTCTCCCTGTCTGTCTGCCTGCGTGTCTCTCTCCACGCAGTAAATTAGCCAGCACTTCCACACAAGCATGAACACAGCTGTGTGAAGACAAGCTGCTTGAAGAATTAGCTCAGTGTCTGTCTTTAAACCTCCTTGGAATTGACAGGCGATGGCATGTTTGGCCAAGACATTTTCAGAGGGGCTGTGTCACTCTTACAAAACTTGCGTGTTACCCTTCACACATGCGCCGGTTAATCACCAAGAAATGTCTTCCGATTTTAGTTTGATGTTGGAGGAAATGAGTTTAATGTCGTTGACGTCTCTGAAAATGAGTTTAATCTAATCTTAATCAAGCAATCTGTAAAAAAGAGGCGCACCAAATGTTTCTGCTGATTAATTAACACCATACAGTAAATGATGTGTGAACTGACATCCAAATGAAATCTAAATGTAATCTTATGGTCAATGTGATATGGTTTCTTGGGTTCCTTTAGGTGTTACTTTAAATGAGTTACTGCGTCACATGTACCGATGCCATTTAAAGTGGACCTATCATGCTATATTTGAATAATATAGTGTAGGACCATACCTATATAAGGCATATTTATACTTTTTTTTTTTTCAAAATACCAAACAGATCATGCATTTTAGCCATGCCTCATTTTGCTCAATTTGACATTTTTTATCCCTGTTTTAGCAAGGGCAGATTCAGTGAGAACAGCACCATCTACAGGCCTGGCATATGTACTACAGCGTCTCCAGCGCTTTCGAACGGCAATGGCCGTGGCTGTCTCCTCCTGGTTGGTGGAGTTGGCCCAATAGCCGTAGCGCCACTGTCCTGACGTCAGGACAGTGTTCAAATCTGGATCAGTTTTTATCAGATCCGTTGCAGCCCCTTTTTTAGAGATTTGGGTATGGAGGAAAATAGAGAGGGTTGTGTTTTCTGACACTTGGTGAGTTCCCTGGAACACCGGGGACACATATTCATGTATAAAAGACGTACAAAAGTGCATTTTGCATGATAGGTCCCCTTTAAATGAAGAAAAGCCTGTGTCTTGTTTCAATATAATGCAGCATGTTTTACTAAATACAATATATGCACTCCTATGTTGTTTACTTCACTTTTTATATATTACTCATATTTCAAGCCATATTTTTCCTTGCCCTCATTTTGGATCAATTTCATCCACTAGCCCTGATTACAAACTTATTGAATAGCCCTGTTATAGACAAATGTTTTATGGTTTCTTGGGGTTCTTTTAGGTATAATGGGACTGAATCAAGTTGATCTAACAAACACCAACTACATTTGTGCCAATAAGGTGAGCTGGTACTTCTTAGCATATTTGTGGGAGCAGAATAACATGTGGGAAGCTTGGTGTGGTTGCCAGGTTTTAGCCTCATCTCAGAGCAGTGATCTCACCTGGCAGCTAGCCCACCTGGCCGTAGGTTTGACACTCTGGGCTTGCCGTCTTTATCTGAGCCTCCGGAGATGGTGAGGCCAAGGCTGCTGCCTTCCCTTTTCATCAGGTCCACTGTGGTCACTCCTCGGCACTCCTCTGCTGACAGATACAGACACAGGCACAGATCCACAGTCAGCATTAGTGTCTGCTTGACAGAATCACCCTGTCTGAGAGGCAACAAAATACTTTTATCTTTCTCTCCTGAATCTTTCACAGAAATGCCCTCTGACACATGACCACATACTTTTTTTTCTCACTCTCCTGTCCTTTTCTTGTTATATTGAATCTTTGTGACAGGTTCAGAAGGAAAAGGAGGACAAAGTCAGTTTTATTAAAGGCACACACTTCTCTTGCACTGACAATGGAGTGAAATTAAATGCATTATTATAAAAGAGGCACTCATTGAAAATTACAGCAGACTCATCAGGTCATAAAATGAAATCCAATTGTATTCTTAAGTGAATGAAAGTGATTTTCTTGACTCTGATGGATACGCGGCTTTATAGTGTCATCAGAGGACTCATTCTGTCTTCTGGTGTGCGTTCTGCTGTGCTGTTAAATCGTTCTACGTGAAGTGTACCCAGTGTGGTTTAGTACAAATGACAGGTATGCCACACAAGCGGTTTTTCCACCTTATCTAAGCATTCAAAACAGTGCAACATCAAGCAAAACCCAGTAGGCACATGGCTGTAGGTGCACCTAGATGAACATCTCAGCACAACTTTTTCCAGGTCGCACTGTCATGAATTAGATAACAGATAGCAATCAAATGTCAGGTTTTACTGTATTGTACCCGAGAAGCTGCGCCTGTAGGACGAACCTGATTGGTCAGGTGCCGCAGAGTCCTTGCTCCCCTTTGAGTATGGCCCTTCATCTGAGGAGACAGCAGGGAGGAGGTGCTGTTAGGTTATGAAGCAGTGTGGTGACATGTAGGGGAACTCTGCAGCAGAAGGCTAAATGAACATAACCATCCAATGCACATCAGGACAGCTGCTGCACACATTTAATGATTTGTTTCCCAGTTTCACCCTGGGAAACGTGAGGGCTCTGGGGGGTGAGGGGGACGGCCACATCCATACACCAGGCATGAAACTGAAGTGAAACAAAAAAGACAGCTCATCCTACTTTGTTTCCACAATCATGTAAAAGGTTCAAATAGCTCCTCTCAGTCTGCAGCAGAGACCCTTGAAAACCATTAATTTAACAAGAATACATTTGCGGTGAGCTTGATGTATGCTGCTCCTAAAGCATGGGAATTTTCCTGAAGGAACAGCATGCGGTTAATGGACTGTTCGGGCATAGAGAGAAAATCATACTTTTCATGTCATTTACAGCAGCTGGGAAATGTTCAATCTGCTCTGCAGGGAAACTGATTTTTTATTCCTTCTTTTTTTTTACCCACAGTGCTGACAGAGCACAGGGCCGGGCTCAGATTAGCAGAGCGCCTGCACGGCCATCTGAACCTGAAAGCAGTCATACAAGCATGTCAGCAGTCACAGTGATGGGGAAACGGACTTTGCACTTCTCTAATCCCGTCCACTGTGAGGATTACCTTTTGAGCAGTCCGGCACAGTGATTGAACATCTTATTACTAGTTTAAAGAAGAGATGTGCAAGGGCCTCTTTTTAAGAATGGAGGGGCCATGTTAGTACCTCGAGCTGCAACCACCAAATGTAAGTCCCCACAAGATAAGGTCTCGTGACTGCTTTGATAATGCCCAGAGACTTGTTTAAAAAACCCTGTTCTTCTAACACTGATATTAAGAAACTGTATCAACTTTACATTTGTACGGTGTTGTGGACAGATAACGTTACAGCGTGATGTGGCAGACAGGTGCATGCTGGTGTTTATGGAGGTACATTCTTACACACCCGATTACCGCATTTCGTGTTCAAAATAGTACTCTATCTCTGAGTTTTAAACAAATCTGAACACACAGAATTGATACACACATTTTGATACACAATGTAACTTCCAAAATATATAATTTACTCGATTTGAAACGGGATAAAGATCGAAGAATTCGCTCTAGATTGCATGATAAAAGACGCTCCTTGTAACTACAGAACTTGCCTGAGAATCATCCCTTTTTTTAGGTTTTCCTCACTTTTACAGTAATCCAGGGATAGTTGTCTGTAGATTGCAAACAGGAAACGCTAATAGCTAATTCGGCATCATTGAAATAGTGATACAGTTCCAAAATGAAAACTGTAGGCTAAAAACAAATGGTGTTCAGGTTGTAGCCTAGAGCTAACTCCATGTCAACAGGTCTACTACACTGTAGTTACAGGATGGCCTAGTACTTCCTGTTGGCATCCCCTTCAATTTAAATCTTGCTTATCTACCAAATATTAGGAAGACAAATATATAATATAGAGTGATAATATATAAACTTCAGTCTTCTCCCACTTTATATAGTGATATAACATTTGGTATTTTTTCTTAATTAAGTCTTAAATCCATAAACAGTCAACTAAATCTACTATGTGATCTACTATGTGATCTACTTCCATGTGCTCTTAATGTCAACATTTTGTCTTGTCCATCATTTTAAGAGGTATCATCCTAGGCCTGACAGTAAATCAATTTGATATGAAAAATGACATCCTCTATTTCCCCAGTTCAGTCTTCAGTCTTGCTGATTTGTAAAGACTGAGCAGGGGAAAGCAAATGCTCGGAGGACATCAAACAAACTGCGTTCTCTCTGTCCAAGTCAATAAACTTTCCACATCTGCCTAAGTGAAGATGAGGCATCAGACAGCTGGGAGGCATGGATCCTTTGTCAGACCTTTACTGACCTGAAACCTTTGGGCAGGCCCTGGATCTGAGGAGTCAAGAAGAAAACCCTGCCTCCTAATACGCACAGCTGTATGAGTCAGACCCTTAACGACAGAAATATCCTTACTGGACTTGGCATATATGTAATGGCAAAGTATAGAACATACATATGCATAGTATGGTATTTCACACTAATTAACACACATCCTTGCACAAATATCCTGTCCAGTAGCTGTGAGGCACAAACAAAGTGAGTGAATGACACATAATAAACACATTAGGCCGGGCACAAGCCTTGAAACCATGCGGGCTCCAGAGGGCCCTGACAGTCCAGCAGCTGTCATTGCAGTCAAAAGGCAACATTAGCTCTGGGTAACGCAGACCCAACGCTCGGCACGTGACTGAGCGCTACTGTACCATCAAGCCATCCCCCAGCATCCTCCTCCAGCTTAAAATAACTATCTATCCTAACGGGCAGAATTAAAATCAGGATGGAGCTGATTAATAAACAGCCCCAACAAACAACTGTTAAAAAACCGATATCTGCTTTGTTGTCTTTGAAGAGGAGGTTAGTTGAGGGCTCAAGGATGAGGTTTGCCAGAAGGACCTTGGAGCGCCACACTGACTAAAATACAATTCTGTGCCACTGCATGAATATGTGGAGAGTTAATTAACCCCTGGTTTAATTCAGGCCACTGTATGCCATCCCTCTTCTAACCAATCAGAATGTAGGTTAAATATGGGGGTGGCACTCACAATGACAATGAAATCATAATGCTATTTTCAGTCGTAAAACTTTATTTATAAACGGGGCCCTGCCAGACCCAGTTTACATTTCTATATCTGCCCCAATTGCACATGGCAGCAGGAAGGCATTCAGAGCTGGTGCTCAAGTCTACTGACATTTCAATCTCTCTTAACCAATGACAAGCAAGATACATGCATTGCAATGATTCTAGATTCAACTGGACTTGTGTTCAGGCCATATAGATTACAGATTAAAAGAGACATTACCGTTGACACTTCTCAGTTACTGTCCCTCCGATTCAATAGACATTTAAGACATAAGCCGCTCTTCACAGGTGATCCAGCTGACACAAATCCTCTACTACAACACACACGCTGACCCCCTTGACTTGAAGAGGAAAGTGTGGTGCTCTTACCAATGCTGTTGTTCTTGGAGTCTCTCCTCAGACCACACAGCATGGCTGTAGTTTTGTCAGAGCAGCCCCCTTGGGAAGTAACCTTGCTGATCTTTAGTAGTGGGCAGAGAGCTGAGGTTCCACCTGAGGTTAAAATAATCTTAGCCGCTCAAATGAAACAAAAGCACCATCTTCGTTTCTTCATTCCTTTGCTAACATTTCCTTAACCTTTGTCCCCGTTTGTCAAACCCAGTGAGGAATTGAGCTCCAGAGGGCAAATTCTTATCCTGAGACGGTCTCTAGTTCCCCTTTCTATTTAAACTGCTCAAAAATATAAATCTACCAAGCGCTGTTCTTCTTTAAAGATCCACAGCATGGAGAGCAATGGTTCATGTCCTTTTCTTCCCATCTTGCCGTGGTCCCATTTTGGAGCTATTCTCACTAATCAGCCGTCCTTTTCCAGAGGGTTTATCATCCCCTGTTCATACACTCAGAAGAGCTCACACATAACCCTCCTCTCTCTACAGAGCCAGAGCATGAGTGTGTTTGCTCTCTCTCCCTCTCTCTCTCTCCCTGCCAGAGGGGTTCAGTGAGGCAGGCACACACGATCGTCACTCCCTCCCCCAGCAGACACACACACACTCTTTATCCATTTCCCACCAAGTCAAACACCCCTCATATGCACATCCTCAAACCCACCCACACACATCTACACACACTGAGATTAGGCACGACACAGCGACACACACTCAACTCTCTGCACAATTAACACCACCTGCACATTCATTGTCAGACTGAGCCCTGCTCTGTCACGTTTTTTCTCACATAGAATGACTGCATCCATTTTTACAGAGCTTGTATCTTCACAGTAATAGTATCTCTCTCTCTCTTAAACAATCACACACACAAGTACATAATGGAAAAATGCATTTGCAAAATTCCTGTGCAGAACAGCTGCCTGTTTGAGATGTCCAGCAGTTGAAATGTTATGTGCAGTTGTCGCACATGAGACTAATGACAGATTTGACTTGTCATACTGTGATCAAGTGAAAGTTAAAGCAATAAAGACACATTTAGAATCTGGCTGATGTGTTAAAATTAAATGCATTTCCTCTAAAGCCTAGCATCTCCTGTTTCTCTCTCAGGAGGGTCCGGGGCCACTGAGGTGCCTCCACTCGATTACAGAGGGACTTACAGGTCTGGTGAATGATCCGTCCCCACACCTGTCTGACCATGTGTCATGCTACACGCCTCGACGTCTGCCACTTCCTGACCCCCACTGCAACCACCAAAAACAACAACATACGCCTTCTTCACTGGCAGCCCCTCAGAGTCTCGTCTGCCTAATTTGCTTTGGTCACTGCGGACAAATTCCTGTCATCACTGATACATACAGCACACCACTAGTACACACAATTAAGGATTTCACAATGTGAAATTATACCCTATATTCTATAACTGCTTATTTTACAGATCTGTGAAAGTGATTACAAACAAACATTTCCATACTTCTACGTGCTGTAGCAGGGAGCCTAATTACTCAGCTGTTACAGTGGACACAATACTCTTTTGGTGTTGATAATTTCCTCAGAGACTTTTGTCCTTAATACGCCATTTACAATGTGAGCGAGCGCAGTCTTTCAGAGCGAGACTAATTAATTTTGAACAAAATAAAGAGAGTGGGGAGAAGTAGCAGTGTGTTGGACTGATAAAAACCCCTGGGAACAGGGTGGCAAATGTTGGGTTATAATAAAAAATTTACTCTTTCGCACTTCCTCTAGAGCAGATTTCAACCTAATTAATGAGTAAGTGATAATGTAATGATTGGATTAAGGAAGCAGATTGTTTGCTGGTACCTCGGCATATAAAAGTAGGTTGAGAATACTAAGCAAAAAAGAAATAAGGAAAACAGAATTTAAGAAGACTGAAAAAGCTGCTAAATATTAAAGACTCAGAAAGCTGTGATTGTACAACTATAGTGTCTCTATTCAGTGCATGTTTATTATTGTGACAATAACCATTCTGAAAATAGCCTTCATTATGCATAGACAAAGTGTGTAATCTGAGCTGCAGGGCCTGAATCTTAACCTGCTTCTTAAACTGCACACACTGCCCTCTTATGGTGAACTCATCCAGTTGCAAGTGAAAGGCTAAAAAGCAAAATGACTAATTCACTTGTCAGCCAGCACAGATCATTGTGTGACATGAAGGGCCAGAGGATGAGGATGTGTCACACATGCTCGTGCTTCAGTGTTCTTCTTAAAGGTCTGTCAAAAGCCCAGACTTCAGTGACTTTAACAGGCCTGCTGCACACATAGTTTTTTTTTTTTTTTTAAAGTAATTCAGGTAATATATGTTGGAGGAATTATTCAAATATATACTCAAAAATGTTTTGTGCAGGCAACAAAACTGTTCTTTTCTTAAACTGCATGAATTAGCAAATTACAAACTTTCAACCCTCACATGTTGTTTTAAATATCAAAGATAACAGATGAAAACTTTACCATTCCCTAAAAGATGCCACATCCTTGCTGTCGGCTTTACCTTTGGTTCTGCCTCTGATGATGCCCAGTCGACATCTTATAGAAAATGAGAACATCCTCCTCTTTCCTCCTGCACACCGGCTGCCTTTCCTCAGGGAATCTGACTGAGGGAAAGCGAAGGAGAGCTGCTTGGGAGTGAGGCGCCCTTTTCCAAACGCGACCCGTGCTGACATGCTCATCTTCTGTCCAGTGACAAGGAAACAGTGGATCATATCCTCCTCCTCACACTCAGCATCTTTTAGACATCACAGTCTCCTTCTGTCCTGCTGTTCTCGTGTTCTCCTCCCTCTCTGGAGAGCTTCCAGTCTTCTTAGGTGCTCGCTCAAAGCTGATATAGAAACAGGTGGATGTTTTTTTTTTAAAGAGGAAATATTCAGATCCAACAGTGCCTGTTTTTTCCCCTTCAACCAGCATTGGTAACTCACTTCCTTTAGTTTCAAACAGCAACGAGCTGGCTGGCTTAATAAATGTTATGTTTCTGCATCTCTGGCAGTGTCAGTTGAACAGGAGCAGATGGCAGAGGGCTCAGGGCTGTGGGGCACAGCTTGCCTGCCGGAGTGCAATGGAAACTTTCTCTGCAGGGTGCCGGCTCTGAACATCAAACAAAACACAATCCGAGCTGGCCATTTTAAGGCAATGACTTCTGACAACGGTGTATTGGATGTACTGACATTATACCAGCCCCCTGACTCCTTGTTATTAGTCTAAAACCTGTGAGAAGTAGCTTCTGTGTCAATTACAGGATACAGAGTATTTTATCATTATGGGATTTCTTTTAAATACCAACCCCTCAATGCCAAGGAGATTCAATTCAAGTTAAAATGGAGATGTCAGCACTGTCTAACCTAGTCTACATTGATATAAAGAAAGTTTGATTTTTGAAACTTAGCTTTAGTCTAGTTCTAATTTTTTTTACTATCCTTACTTTGAAAGGCCACTGCTGCATGCACTATGATTAACACCAAGCTATATTTAGATAATAAACATGTAATCTGGGATTTTCAATGCAAGGCTATTGTCCAATAAACAGCAGTTATTCTTGTAAAACTGGGGTAAAAAACAAAACTACCAAAACCCCGGTAATTAGAGTCCAGATGTTCTTTGACAGCTAAAGCCTACATTTGTTGAAGCATGAACACTTTCCTTGCGGCAGTTTAGCTCCTTTGGTCCTGTCCCAGCATCCAGTGATCTGGAGGGAAAAGAGGAATAACCCCATGTACCCAAGGGGGAATCCAACCAGCTCTGTGGCCATCGGTGTAGACACCAACTCATGCATGCAGGAGCAGATCCTTAAAATGTTGATGCCTGTGCCCCATATAACATAACTAGTACCCCAGGATGAAAAAATTATGTTCAACTTCCTGGTCACTTCAATTTATATTGATTGAAGATGTTTTTCTCTCCTAACCCACACAACCAATTTTAAAACTCTTATTTTTTCTCCTTGATAACATTATTTCAACTTTTAAATGCGGCTCACACACACACTGGACTTTCCAAACATGTGCATCAATACTGCTAACAAGCAATTCAGTTGTAAAAGAGGATCCCACGTCATTTTTGATTTTTTAACATTTATTGTGAACAACCAGTTTATTCGTTCTCCTCGCTCCTGAGCCTGGCGTTGGGGTTGGTGATCTTGATGGCCAGCTGGGCGGCTCTCTCCACGATCGTCTTCCTGTTCTTGGATGAGACGTTGTGGGCGATCTCAGCACAGTGAGTCCTGCAGAGGGAGAGAAGGGCTTTAGGATTCAGACTGTAGTAAATACAGAAATCAACATCAGTACATAAAATAAAGAAACTCTTCTATTCAGATAACACAATGAAAATGGATTCTGAACTCCTGTAAACATAAATTGACATTGTAAAATGTGTTTAAACGTTAGAGCAGCTTTGGCCCAATGTATCATTTCGCTTTGTGGGCAATGTTTAAACACTGACACGGGGTCACTGAATTCATCCTTAAAAAGCGCCACTAAATATGACTAACTACAGAAAGAAAGACTTTAAAAGACGGAAAATATCTACCCATAGTGTTATTGACTTAAAAAAAAGTCAGTCTCAAGATTACAATTTTAAATGTTATACTAAAAATGTTCTCTGAACTTCATACAGCATGGATCATTTTGAATCAAATGTGAAGATGGTCTTGGGTAAACACAATATCCCCACATAAAATCAACGTGATTCAGATTTATTAGAACAGCTTAGAGAGTTCTACACCTTTTGATTTAAACGTTATTTCCCTGCCCTCAGAATTACTCTGGCATATTTTATCCTGACAAATCTACAGCTGATTCCTTCAGATTACAGTCAGAAAGTTAAATACAATTCACCCTCTCTGTGATTGAAATTGGCGAGTTGATCTTTGGTAGGTCAGACCAAACTCTTTTGAGATTAAGGAAGCCGTATCACTAAAAACAAAAATCAATGATAAGCACGAGAATCTCACGCTTTCTTAACTATAACTAAGATGAATGCTTTGAGCTGTAACTACTTCAGTCATCTTAACATATAAAATGTAGTCACTGCCATCTGCTCGCCTCAGCATCTGTTATTATTGTTTAGCTAGCTTCCATCCCTTAAAAAAAAAACTCAATGGCGCGATTAAAACCAGCTTGTTTTTGTTGCAATTACAACCAACAGATAGCCTGAAGGGCTATGAATGAGAAATTCATGAAAACACATTTCCTAAATTCCTAAAACAGATTAGATTGTGCCAAATGCAAATTAATCTATAAGCCTTTCTACTAAAGGGATAGGCCGAGTAGAGCTATATCTTCTACCTAAAACTGTTAGATCAGTTATTCAAATGCCATTGAAGGTTCAGTTCACATACTCTGCCCTTGAGGTATATAGACATGTCTTTTCTTATAGGCTGAGAATTCCAGCATTGGTGAATAAACAACTTAATAGTCAAAAGGCTAATAAATGTAAAGCTTGTCGTATGTACAGTATTAAGTGTTTTTCTTTGTAAGCTTTAGTCAAGCTTTTGCAATTATAATTTCCTTCACCTGATAAACTGAAGGTTCAGCATGTATTTCAAATCCTAGCAAACAGAACAACTCTTGTGCATGCCTGATATCAGTAACTTGGACATGCAAGGAAAATGTACTCCTAGTAAACAGTTACAGCTTACCTGTTGCTCATCATAAGGACCTCCAGCTCCTTGATATTGTGCACCAGGAACTTCTTGAAGCCGGTTGGCAGCATGAACTTGGTCTTCTTGTTGCTACCATAACCGATGTTGGGCATCAGCATCTGACCCTTGAACCGCCTGCGGACCCTGTTGTCAATACCCCTGGGCTTACGCCAGTTTTTCTATTGGAGTTAAGAAAAAGATATACCAATAATGAATCACTTGAAGGGACAGGTTTAAGACAAAGCTTAACATGTGAAGTATTTCCTTGAAAGCCTTACCGCAATCTTCACATATCTGTCAGACTGGTGGCGAATGAACTTCTTAGTCCTCTTCTTGACGATTTTGGGGTTTTTGAGGGGCCTGAGGGCTGCCATGGTGACTAAGGATGGGGAAAAAACAAGTTAACAACCAAGTAAGCATGTATATTCCAGTGTTGTAGCATTAAACCTGCATGCTACAAGGGTTTTCTAGGCTAGTTTGAAGTTGCTCCTAAATCACTGCCCAATTTAGACAACAGTAGATCTCAATGACAAACAATCATACGGCTTGGTAATAACATAGATAGATCTTTTACAGAACAGACTCGTCACATTAACAACTAACGAATGCTCATTGGCATCAAGTGCCCTGGGAAGCTAAAGCATTGAACCAGCATGCACAACACCAGGACTTCCTTTTAGCGGAATGCAGCTAAGTTTATTGTTATATAAATACTAAGTTACACATGTGATTTCGATACTAGCACGTGTAAAAATGTTTGCTGTGTGTAATATGTCTGTTCCAAGTCAACATCAACGTTTCTGCTTTGCGAGCCTCAGGGTAAACGTGTTGACCAAAGTCGGCTAGCAAACTAGCTTTAACGGTGCAGTCAATGTTTAGTTAGCTTGCTAGCCATGCTACTCTGCTCTGTGCATTCTGCTTCAGCGGTATAACCTGAACCAAAGTGTACATTTGATGGTCGTCTTATGTTGGCAACGGGTGGTTGTTATTTAAGAATGAACTGTAAGCCACTTCGTACAGCGGAATTATTACTGAGTAAGACAACCCCATTTCACGGAGAGCGTTAGCACCCAGCCAGCCGAAACACCTCGCTCAAGAACAACACATTAATCACGGAATAATATTAGAAAATGGTCAATTTTAACAAACATGTGTAGAGTGGACGTCTATTATTGATAACATGTATCAGGATGGTCAAATAACGCCTTAAATCGCGCTGATGAACATAGATTGAATCGACTCACCCGCCGATGAAAATCCAAAAGGGACTTCGGCGACGGCGGAAGGGAAGAAAAGAACTTCCGCGAGTGCCGCAAAGGCTTATGGGTACTGTATTTCAGCAGAACTACACTTACTTTTAGTTCCTGTTTTAGTCCACTTGAATGTACACCTATACATACATTCACATTTACATTTACTTTTACTCAAAAACGATTGAGTGCAAGTGCATGAAACTAAATACGTGTGTTGTTGTAATTGTTTTGGGGTTTTTATTAACGCTTTCTGTACGCCCACCTTCACAAATATTTACTATGAAACTTTGTGCGCACTTCCTGGACAGTTTGTTTTTGTTGGTGAAAGCTTTTACAGTCTACTTGTTTAAACTGAGTGCGTTATCTCGAAATAATTATTAACTACAGCACTCAACCAACACATCGAAAAAAGTGAAGTACTTTTTAACAATCAGAAGAAGACTGACTGATAGATCTGATGACCCGGAGGTGTGGTTTGATACGAGGTGAATGATTTGCTTTTTGTCACATGATTGGTGATAGGCTATATATATTCACCATTCACCTAATGTGGGATTAGATCCCGAATGAAGGAGTTCTTTTTTGGTTGGTTTCTAGCACTTTAGATGGAGTATCAGCCTATTGTTGGGTGAGTATCTGATGATTTTTTTTTACTGAACTTGAAACTGAATTTAGCCCACATTGTTTTTCACATCACTTGCTTTACTTTCGTTTCCCCGTTACTTGACAGCGAAGGGAACCGAACCTACGGAATGGCTAACCCCGGTTATATGCCAGCAGCAGAAGGGGGACCAGGTAAGACCAGTAAAGGAGTAATTCAAGTTTAGCAATTTGTAATGCCATGTATGTAAAGACATTACAACATTTATAATTGCACACTTCCGTTTCACACGGACACACCAAAAGTACGTCACTTCTACGTAGGCCTACAGGTTTATTTGAGGCTGTGAGCGCGATAGTCGCTTTAGTAGGAGTTGTATACTTTGAGACGTATATAGAAGTTAAAGTGTTTGTTAAAGCATCTTACCCTTGGTCAAGTCTTTAGTGTAGCTGTAAACCTTCCTTGAGTGGATATTACCATGGAGGGGCAAGGTAAGTCTCTCTCAAAACAATGTATTCAGGTGTTGAAGAAGCTGGCACGTAGAAAACATGTTACAACTTGGAAATGTCAAGTATTAAGCAGGATTTTCTTTAAAGATGTAGAAATGTGCATAAGAGTATCTAACGGTTTAGACATTTGTAATAGTCTAGTCGTTTGTTTACGACACGTAGAGCAACCTCAGAAGATTGTTTTTATCTGTAAAAGTACATCCATGATTAAACTGGTTCTTCTTGTTTTGTTGAAGCTCTCTTCGCCCCACCCGCAGCTGCTCTCCAGGGACCCAGCGCTCCTCCAGCCAGCATGTTTGACAGCATGCCTGGCTATGAAGGAACAGTGGCAGGAGGAGGAGGTACAGTATGCTGAAAATACTCATAAGCACTCATATTCTACAAAATGACTGTCTCTGTGAAAAATGACACTTCACAATACTGTCACATACAGTCACATACCACTTGATTTGGTACTCCCATAACATTTAAATCAATCCAGTACTACAGCTCTATTTTTCTTCTTCATCAAGCTCATCATTTTACGTTTTTGTTGACATTTTCCTGGTGGTAATTAAAAGTTGTCAGAAGTGATGGCGTGTAACTGGACTACAATTTAATGTATGTGTTTCTTTGTTTACCCCTGTTTGTAACTGTGGTGGGCATAACATAATGAGGACCTCTTTGACTGTGTCAATCAAAACTAAACACTATTATGAAAACGTTGAATGTTTTGGCAAACTGTTACGATAAAGTGTATACTGCACTGTATAAACAAAAGCACCAGGAATGATTGCTAAACACTAAACAGTACAAACATTGTTTTCATTATTTGCTCTAGGTGGATTTCTGCCCCCTCCGATGCCTGCTTTCCCAGTTCCTCAGCCTGAACCTGGACCTGCACAACCAAGTTGGAAGTAAGAAAAAGTCATTTGATTTTTTTCAACATGACTGCTTGAGGTATTGCAAAACATTTTCTTCGATGTGTTGTAAGATTCGGAGCACATCAGGCACTATTCCAACCATCACTTCCTCTTTAACATTTCACCAAATGACATACTGTATCTCGTTTCCTCCCTTCCAACAGTATCCCATCTATATCAGAAGATACTGCCCGGGCAGCGTTTGTCCTGTTTGCCTCCGGCAAGTGTTGCTACAATTCAGGACCAGCTAAGGACGGTGTAATTACTCGAATGGATGCATTCAATACATACAGGGTAAGAGGAGATTTCTACACAAGTTTGAGTTTGAAAAACCTGCTTGAAAGGCAGGGAAATCTATAGAAGTAATACTTTGAATGGTTGTTTTGGGTGACCAGTGCATAAGTAAATACTTCTCTTGTGTGTTTACTTTGTTTTAGTACCGGCTGGAGACATTTACTGAATCAAGATCTACAGAGTGGAGTCACGAGCCATACAGAGGTACAGCACTATTACCTTGTGCATTAGATACGTTGTACTCTCTGTTTTCTGCTGTCAGGAAGCTACTTATAAGCAACTGCTATTAATAATAATATGTTGTTTCATTTGAATTAGGCCAGCCAGTGGATGCCTTTGCCCAACCACCTCCAGGACCATGGGACGTTCCTGCTAAAGCCCCCACCTTTTTTGTGGAAGACCAACAGATTATGAAGGTTCCCTACACATCGTCAACAAAGGTAAATTACAAAACACATGTGTCAGGAATGAAAAGCTATTTTTAAGAGTATGTTTCTACTGATAAAAACATTTGATTTACAGCCCTGCCACGTTTGTGTCGGAATGGGGCGCAGACCTTGCAAGGACTGTGCTGGTGCTGGTAACGTAAGTCATTTAAAGAGACCTCATCTAAAGGGTTACTTTCTGACTTTAATCCTCATCCTCTGATCATATGATTTCTTTTATTGCTACTTCCAGAAAGTTTGTTGGGTGTGCAATGGCTCTGGATTCCGCCACGGAGAAGATCGATGCCACCACTGCAGTGGCAGAGGGAGGGAAAAGTAAGTGTAATCCATCATATCTCATAGCTTTCTAATGAAGTGCAATTTATAAAGTTTCAGATTTTTCTTAAATACATTTATAGTTAATAATCAATTTTCTGTTTACAGTTGCAGCCGCTGCCAAGGGAAAGGATCGATGCAATGTGACACATGTCATGGACAACAACAGCTTCTGGTCTACATTAACCTGACTGTGAAATGGTAACATATCTGTCAGACATATTGACATGACTAATTAAATGAATAGTCTTCCTTAACAATGTAAAGGTCAACAACATTTATGGGTATTTTATATTCTTGTTGTTGTATTGTATTTTACAGTTGTAAAATTAATCTGGATTTCTTCCTTTTTATGTACATTCTTGCAGGACCAACAACTCTGAGAACTATGTGGTAGAACAGTCCAGTGGGCTGCAGGCAGAAAATCTCAGCAAGGTGTCCGGCAAGGAGCTTTTCAGGGACACTCAATACCTGGTAAAATATTGTTATTCACTTTTTCAGCAGGCACAACCTATGGGTATTAGAGTATTGTGTGCTTTTTTTAACACATAGTACATGCAGATTTCTTCGTGAGGAATGTTGGTGCTCGTTTTCTTTAAATCAATTGTAATAGGATTGATATTCTAGATTAGTCAAAATCTTGAGTCTCAAAGCAAATTATACATTTTCCTTTACAAAATATTATGCATCTTTGCCTGCTGGTTAGTTGTACACATTTAAAGTCACCTTTTTATTTTTACACAAACAGGCTGTCAACACAGGATGTGTTTCAACCACATTAAATACAATGGTCTACCATCTCACACAACATTGGTTAATCCTGAAGCCTCTTTTTAGGCTTCAAGTATATTCTCTTTAGTTTTTATTGGGACGATGTATTTATGTTTTTTTGGCTCTCAGTAAGTCAAAGTGTGGGTGACCACACAGCATATCTGTGGCTGAACCCTTCCTGTCTGACACTGATAGAGGTCTGAAACTGCTGCTGCAGACACGGTCCTTCCACTATGTAGCCCATGCAATGTGTTAATGTATGGGTCTTATACTTATCCTTGGTTCAGGTGTCATTCAGGTGACATAGTTGTCTAAGCATGCTTGAAACAAATGAATGTCATCAATAGTATTGTGAAGTTAACACTTACTTTTTTCTGTTGACTCTGTGTAGGTGTACCCACTGGTAGGCTTCCCAGACCCTGCAGTGGTGAATGCTGCACAGCGCCTTGTCCATGATCACCAAGGAAAATACTCCAGGACATCACGCATTCTACAACAGGTAATGTTGCATCCACTCTATGTATAGCCTACTACTTGGATATAAGAAAATGTTTTCAACATGAACTGGACAATACTTGTGATCAAAGTCTATAATCTTTTGTTTGTCTAACATGCTCATATTCAAACTCTTCTTTTGCAGCGTCAAACCATAGAGCTGATCCCTGTTACCAAGGTAACCTACTCATGGAAAGGGAAATCACACATTTACTTTGTTTACGGGAATGAGTTCACAGTGAATGCAGATGACTATCCTGCAACGTGTTGCTGTACTGTTATGTAATTGAAATGGTTGTGTATGAAGGTTTTTTTCCTTTCAAGCCAATATATTTAAATAAATAAGACAGATTGAGATACAGGTCAGTTCTGCTGATTAGTGACGAGTACCCTGACATGTGGACAGTTGATTGTTCAATAAAGGTAAACGGAGGCATTTAACCTATGAACTTTCCACAAGTTAGTAAAACTGATGCCTCTTAAAGAATAGAATAGAATATATCTTTATTGTCATCATACAAAGTACAACGACATTTCTTTGGCAACTCTCACTGCATATATATAATAACTGACCCTTAATGCTACACAGACGTTAATAAACGTTTCACTTATTATTACAATATTACTTATTTTTAGGAAATCATTTATATTGTTACGTGCCATTTTATTCACGCACCACATAAATAAATTGTTTACTGACACCATTATATAACCCTAACTGAACCCTTTCGCTTTAAAAAGGCAGCAGTGATT